GGGTTGCTCAGCCAAGCCAACGTGTTGGCATTTGTATTTTACTCTCTTTTTTTGTTTTTATGCCCTGCAGCAAAAAACACAAAGAAACAAGAGCGAGGAGGAAAAAAAACAATTTCAAAATTCACATAATGAACTGGGGACCAAAATGGGGAGCTCGGTTAGTGGGTGGTGATGGGCGGCTGAAAAGGACCGAAAGCAATCCTTAAAGCCCTTGCCAAATAGCATGCCAGTTGGCAGTAAGCGAGAAATAATTATTTGCCGTGCTAAGCGAACATTATTCACTCCAAATCGGCCAGGAAAAGGCGTAACAGCCACAGCAAAATAGAAATATGTTAAACAACTCGGCCTGATACCACGAAAAAATGGGCAAAGAATTAAGGCTCTAAGTAAAAGTGTTTTCACAAAATGGTCACTGAACAAAATTGAAATAGGAATTCAAAGTTTCCATGCTAATTCAAAATAAGTGAAACAACATTAAAGGCCTTTATAGTTCATTGTTTCAATATTGTAATTTGAAACTTTAAAAATGAAAGATATTAGGAATTATATGAATAAGAATTTCAGTATAAGTGAAATAAATATATATTTCTTGTCTTATAAGAAATATTTAACTTTAATTTAATATAAAGATGTTGTTTATTTTCCGTGTATATTTAAGAGTACATTACCCCACCTGGCAGCTTTTAATGTTGTCATTTTTGGGGTCCGCCTTGTGATTTACCTTTTGCCTGCGCGTTGTTCCCATTTTGCTGGGAAATTTGTTGTCTAATTTATGTAAACCAGCCGCTCATCCACACCTCATTCCCGTTGCCCCTCTCCACCAAGCGGCTGTAATTTATGAAATTGCCATCGACTCATGCTCGCACGTCTTTCACTCACTTCTCATTCGCATTCTCTTCGGCCCGCCATTGACATTATGAATGTTTTTCAATTTTATTTATGACGTAAATTGTTAATAAATGCAGTCGACCTCGGTACGTGACTTACTCGATGTCTTATCGCGTTCGCTGGGATGATTAATGTCTGGCATAAACGAATTGCATTTTAAATAAATTATTACGCATACGCAGCGTGGACCGAGGCGTCTCTAATGAAGCTGCCGGCTATTTGGCGGTGAAAAATAAGGGAATTCTCCTTTAAAGGAGCCGCAGCAAAGGAGTGCGGCTTGTGTACTCGCCAAACTTGGTTGGCAAACTCTTTTTCGCTTGCAGCTTGATTAAAATTTCATTAACAAAGAGCGGCAAAAACTTGCGGCATACTTTAAGGCTGCGGCTGGCATGTGTGTGGGTGTGTGGGTGTGTGGGTTTGGGTGTATGTGGCTATGTGGGTGGGTGAGAGAAATCTGCGGTGCCGCACTCACACAAACACACTAGCTCACTGGTGTCGGCATATAAAACGCTTTGCTTGTTTCGAGGCTGCTCAACTTTTTTTTCCATTCTCCGCTGGCTTTTTTCGCCTGAACGCTTCGTTTGTTTGCCAACTGGCGACGGATCCTTAAGGATGTGTGTCGCTGTGTGTGTGCGTGTGAGGGTATGAGAGTGTGTGTGAGTGCCTGTTAAATTGCTTGTTTATGTTGGCCCGCGCTTCCTGCCTGAGCCAAATAAAAAAAAAATTGCGAACAAGGACTCATGCGGCAATCACTTGAAAATTCTCATATGATTTTGATTTCTTTTAATTTGCAAACAACCCCTCTCTTGTCTTGTCTGCTGTTCGCTTTTTCGGCTGTCTTTCCTCTTGTTTTGCAAGCCGACAAATATTTTTGCTTAGGCTTGTTGATTTTGTTACGGCTTTGTTGGGCCACGATGCTCACTTAAGCAAATTGAGATCTTGTAAATATTTAATGAGCCAGGAGGAGAGAGTTTAGGAGGAGCAACAGGATGCACTTCACGCCGAAATAAACTGTTAATTATAGACAGTGAAGATAAACACTTGCAGCCAGAAAAAATTATATAAATTTGAACAAAAAATGTTTAAAAGTCTTACATTCTCTTACATTCTAGATAAAGCCACAGTAATAGTAATAATAATAATAACATTGCAAAGCTAAATAACTTACATTTCTTCTCATAACATATGTGTGCCAAATATTTAATAACTTAGGAAATGTTTTTTCTTTCTAGAAAACCGTTATAAATAAGAACTATATTCCTAAATATATTTATCTTTAAACAGTTGTCAGTATTTTCAAAAGCTTAACGGGTTCATTTCACCTGAAACTCAACATCCGCCTCACCTATATGCCATAATTATAATGCCAGCTTCAGTGTTAATTTGCCACCCAAACTGCACTGGGAGAAATGAGTGGCGGGAATTTATGAAGTTCTATCTCATTAATTGTTCACTTCTGCTCTCTGGTGTGTTGAGGGTTTTCTCTCTGTCCAGACATCCTCTTAGTGGCACTAATCCCTGGCTCGCAAAACCTCACACCCAAGGGCATGTCAAGCATTTAATTACTGGCCATCAGCAGGGCTTAAAAGTGAAACCCACTCCACTGATCCTGCTCCGCGGGAATCCGCTTCGTTAAAATAATATTAAGCCAGTGAAGGGATAAAGGATTCATCACTCCGCTCGCCTGTCCTTTTTGCTAACTGCCTTTTAATTTTTTCGCTCTGCTTTCTGGATTGCTACGCAAAATATTTTCATTAAAATGTCAAAAAATATCTGAGAATATTTTGCGCAGACACGCAGCGTTCGTTGGGGCAGTCGGGCCATGGGGTGGTTATAAAAATTAATGGCAAACGCAAATGCAAGAGGCGGCAAAAAGGATTCAAGATTTGTTTAACCAGCATTCGTTTGCCGTCTGTCCTCTGGTCCTGTGAATTGTCGGGAGAGTCGTTAAATTGTTTTCATTATCCTTGTAAGCCCTGCCAGCGAACCGTGCAGACCGGGGCCAGAGGTAATAGCCCGCTATCGCCGTTCCCTTCGCTCCTCCTCCGTGCCAATGCCAATTAAAACCGCAATGCAAATGAGCTGTGCTTAATGCGTGTGCCAATGTGTGCGTGTGCTCACTGTGTGCGTGCAGATACACTCTACCAAAAGTGTTATATTTTACTGCAGGAGGTAAATTAAAGTAAGATAAAATACTAAAATGCTTTCTCTTAATGCTTTATAGAGCTAAACAAATTATGAAATACTTTTGAACAAAATCTTACATAATTAGTTCTGGCATAAAAATGAGCAGGAGCTTTAAAATGAAGTTTATTTATTTTCCCAACGTTTTTAAAGAAACAATATTTTTTCACCTTAATAAATAGAAGTTTAAAATTGGTTTAACTATCCCTAATAAGTATCCAAGAATACATTTCCTAAAATGTAAAAGGGAAACATACAAATACCCAACTCGATCACAGAATTTCCCTTTGTGCACCCTAACATCGAATAGTTTGCGGTCCTAGGGCGTACAAAAATTTAATTGCTCTGCTGGGAGGGCTGGTCCTTTAATTTTTCCGCTGTTGTTTTGGAAAACGCTTAGGCCGCTCCCAATTTGGCCATATGCAAAAAAACTGGGCTGGGTAGCACTTGTTGTTGGTTGTTGTTTTAGTTGTTCCTGTTGTCGGCTTCGGGCTGACTACTCATTCCATTAAGCAAACAATCGACACACGATGCATTCTGAAGGGATATAGCCGGATGGTCGTCGCCTTCGTTTTGCTCGTGTTTCCGTTTCATTTGTAATTAATTAAATTACTTCCGCTTAAACAGCGCTGCAGACGCAAGAACCCGAGAGCAGGACCCGAGGAGCGGACCTAAACCCATTCCAATTCCGACTCCCCGCCCGGCGACTTCTCAATTACGCCTTCATCCAGTCAACCAGACCCACCAGGCGGGTCGTTTTTCCTGCAAACTCCACCATGGCTTGTTTATCCTTCGCAGTCTCAGCCCCTGGACTCGGCGAAGTAATTAAGAAGACATTTCACACGGGCATCCTTTAATCTGTGCGTTTTATTTGCGGCATCGTCTTCGTGTTTACTTCATTGCCTGGCCAGCGATGGCTGCACGTAGAAAAAACTATTTAAGTTCCGGTATTTTAATCTCTTTGAGTTTAAATGTTCAAAATTATTCGAATTAAGATGATGTGGTTAATCAGTTGGGCAACTATGCTTGCTTTTGGCGATTTAGTATATCGAGTTGATTAACATTAATTATGCCATACATAAATTATGTTTATTGGACATTATAGGTCTAGGATATTCTTAAAGTAATAACAAAAAATTTGACATCCATAAAACAGCAACGTCACTAAACATCACTACTTCTATAAAAATCCTGATCAATAGTGATAATTAGATATTATCTTGCCCAGCTGACAGTGAAAATATAAAATACACGGGATTTAAAATTCTTTTAGATTCTATTTATTCTTTCACTATCATAATTCCCTAAAAACTGGATAGCTCAGTTTTTAGGGAATTATGATAGTGAAAGAATAAATAGAATCTAAAAGAATTTTAAATCCCGTGTATTTTATATTTTCACTGTCAGCTGGGCAAGATAATATCTAATTATCACTATTGATCAGGATTTTTATAGAAGTAGTGATGTTTAGTGACGTTGCTGTTTAATTCTAAAAAAAAAGGGAAGTCTTTAAAATCTCAAGAATATTTTTTTTCCATGTTGTAATCTAGTTTCGTGCTCATTGCTGGCTCTTGGGGCTAACACGCACTCATCTCTAGATGGAATTTCGCCCCACCTCCCACAGCAATCTTGATGATTTGCTTTGGTTTTGTTTAGTGTCTGTGGCTTGGCGCCTGGTTCCTTGTTCCTCCTGCGGACATTCCTCCTTCCGATTCTGGGAATCCTGGTCTCCTTTAATCTGTTGCCAGTGGACTGAACTGGTCGTTATTTCGTGCCCAGCGCACGCTTGATTAGTCGCCTAATGAGGTGTTGACTATGAACGTCTAATGATTGCTATAGAACAGCCTCGAACACACACACATGTGTACACTTGGGCGCAGATTAAAGTTGATTTTAATTAAATCAAAATCTTCTTTTCCTATTTTTAGCTCATGAGTGGACTCAACTTTCATCTGTGAACGGGTCCTACTGGAGGAAAGCCCAATGAAAAGTTTAGTTGCCACCGAACCAACGTGAGTAAATCAATACCAAACTAGAGCAAAAAACTGACAGGAAAAAATGTGAAAAGCTAGCCACGGAATTGCATTGAAAATTCGCTTTCGGATAGCCTCAAAAAAAACAAAAATGGATGCTAAAATATCGATTGAACAATATTGCTTTCGCTTTCCCCAGCAGTTTTCAATGCAAATTTTAAAATCGAAAAAACGAAAAACTTTCTACAAAATTCGCATATATTTTCTCTACTTTTATTTACATGATATTCGGCCTTAAAACATGAAAACGAAACTAACCGAAATTGGCTTCGAACTTATGCGCAAAAATTGGAAACTAATTGGCGAAAAAAAAACGTTTTGAACTGCAAAATTTGCACAATCGTTGTGTAATCGATAATCGCATAAAATGGGAAATGTAAAACCAAAACAAAAAATAAAAACCAACAACCACAACAATATGGGAATCATGTATTCCCTTACAATCACAACAACCACCGAACAAAAACATTTCAACAACACCATCAACATCATCATCATCACCATGCTCATGAACATCCTGCGAATCCTGCTATTTATGCGCTTTATGGTGTGACGTCATGGCTGCGACCCCTGGCTGATATATCCCCCTTGTAATACTCCCCCTCCATTTAAACCACCCCCTCCCTTTTCCTATTCCTATTTATGTGCATTTTTGTGGCTTTCCCCCTCAATATTTCTCTTTGCTATGCGTTTTCATTTGCGTTTTCACTTGCCATTTTTGTTTATGCTTCACGCTTTCGATTTTTGTTTTGGTTTTTCTGCGCCCCCCAAACTCCCTTCTGCGTTGCCAATTTCCGCTTGAATTAATTCTGTGTTTAAATCTGCGAATCCTCGACGTCGTCCTGCGTCCTGCAGTCAGTCGGAGTGGAGCAAGTGAACCCCTGCGGCTAGCCACCCGCCACCCGCCACCCCGAGCCACCCACTGTAGTCAAATTTAATAAAGGCCGCACAGAGCTGCTCTGGTGGTGACTGGCCCACTCCATCGCACTCTGCCGATGTCCTGAATTGTCCTGGCAGGCTCACGCAGTGCGACAAAAGCCGCCCGCAGCGTTTTTATATGCGCACATAATTGAGAGCGTCGGCCAGTAACACCCGCTGCCAAAAGTTAATGCCCAAAAGCAAGGCCGCCACAATGATAACCAACAATAATTTGGATTATGACCAGGGCAGCGCCAGCAGCAACACGGCGACAGCAGCTACATCGACCGCAAGCACAGCGGCAACATCGGCGGCCATGAGCAACAGAAACGGCAGCACCAGCAGCAGCAGTAACTCCTCGCCCACGGCAGACAGTTCAAACTCAAACTCCAACTCAAACTCGAACTCAAACGCAAATATAAATCCGAATTCAAATCAGAATTCCAACTCCAATTCAAACTCATACTTCAACCGATTCGACAATCGCATAGCGGCCAATTTGGCTGCCGTTTTAACCGGAGCTGGAGCCCGTTTTCGATCCTCATCCTGCAGCAATCGTCAGCCAGCGGCAAATTCGGCCGTTTTGAGATCCCCCTTGGCCACCATCAGTCGTGGTAAGACAAGTCTGGCCGCGCCCTCTTCGCCTGCAAGTCTAGGACGTCGTCGCCCCCTGCAACTCTTCACACACGCAAATCTCAAGTGAGTAGCCCACAATGCGATTCCTAGCAGATCCCTCCAATCAATGCTTAAATCACATTCATTAAGAAAAACACGACACCTATCACTCGTATAGTAGAATAGGTACACAACATTTAATACATATATAATAAAGAAATAATACTTATTATATTTTTACCTATACTAGCTCTGACAAAGTAATAAATATTCAAAAGCCTGATCCACTCTTTACTTTCTACTTTAATCTTGTGGAATGCGGTTGTTTGACAAAAAAAAGTATATATTTATTATTTTGTCAGAGTAATGATTATTTATTTTATCTCACAATGAAACTATCAGCTAATCATAAATATTTTTTTTTAAATATATTACTCAGTTGCAATGACAATGAAAAGGTGGCCCAAACACCAAGCTCTGATGAGGACAACTCGCCCACCGAACTAAACAGCTGCAAGCGTTTGGCGGACAAGCCTCCTTTGGTAAGTAAATAGACTAAGTTCAATCACAAAATAAAATAAAAAAAAATTTGTGTATTTTCATCTACAAATTATAAAAGTTTAAGAATTACCTTTATGTTTAGCACAATCGGTTGAAAAGTTTACACAAAAAAAAAGGCTTGCTTAATATCTATAATAATCATATTATAATCTCAAGTTTGTGCTAAAATGTTTCATGACTAAATTGACACGAAAATAAAATACAACTTAATTAAACAGACAAGAAATATTTCCCTTTTAACATTTTCTTATATAAAAAATGTATTTTGAAAATAATAATGCATGAATGAGTTTTCCCGAGTGTAGGGATTATTCAAGAGATTTTCTTGCCAAAGAATGGCAAATATTTTGCCCTGCATTAGAAGATCAAACATATTTGATGGGTTTGACTTTGATAAGGGTGCGCCAACACTCGGACTTCGTTTATTGGTTTTCCATTTCTGCCAAGCTCAAGGAGTGGCCCAAGTATTTCCCGAATTTTCAACGCTTTGTTATGAATTATTGGCAGACAGTATTCCCGCGCGGGAAGAGCTAAGCTTCCCTGAAGGGAAAAAAACTTTAGAGAACTAAGCCCCACAACCCGTGCGGTCCTTACGGACCATTTGCTGGATTGCTTGCTGGATTTTTTCGGCTCTTCCGTTTAAACTTTTTTTTGTCTTTGTCATAACACGTAGAAGTCGAAGGGCTGCCCACATGCGAAATGTTTTATCAAATGTTTCGCCCGTGTTCTTTGTCACGTGATAGGCGAGACCGAGGCGAAGTTTTGCAATGCAAAACTTTAGCCTTTCCTTCGACTTGTGGCACGTTGTTTTCATAAATTCAACGCCTTAAATATTCATGCCTCAGTGTGAGTTCTGCTACATTTATATATATTTACGTATATAGAGAGATATGGAGTCGAGGCAGCTGTGCTCAGTCGAGCATAGTCTATGCGATAAGTACGTGCGAGTTTATTCATACGAGAGAGACTCGCTGGCACTCGACCACGCTGCGTATACGTTATGTGTTTGTCTTATTTATGGCTGCATTGCGACTCGATTGCGCATTATGGTGATTACGTCTGTAAACTAATGGCCTCCACCTCGGGGGAAGGAGTCACCTTAAGCTGGATGCAACTGAAATCAAATCGAATCAAGGCCAAGTCACACACCGAAACTGAAACATCAGTGGCACACGACAGCAACCACAACATCAACAACGGGCACTGAAACACTCTGAGAAATTGAAATCGTATCGAAAGCGAAAAGCAATCAGTTGGCCCTAATGGCAAACCATAAATATTGTCAATACAAGGGCTGTGTGTGCAACCCCCCTTTCCGCCTGACATTCCGCATATGTCGAGGTTCGAAAACAAAGAAACGCAAAAAAGGGTTCGTGCTTTCGCTTTTGGTATTTTTCATATTCCTGTGCAGCGAGCGGCGCTTCCCTTGTTTTGTCAATAAATCAATTTCGGCTATAAACATTTTTCGACGGCAACAGCAAATAACACGCAAACGCCGCATGGTACGGCAGGCATATCCTTTTGTTTTGCATAGTTTTTTTCGATTCCTCCCGTTTTTTTTTTTGTGTGGTTCGACATGCTGCTGCCTGTCAATAACATCATTCTGTTGCAGGGTGCGGCCCGATAAGCAAATTAATTTTTGCTTCTCCCATGGGCGTGACAAAGGGGGGCTGGAGTTTATAGAGGGGCGTGATGCTTCCCTAATTGTGCCCAACAGGCAACTTGCCATCGCTGTCGTCGTCGTCGTCGTCTGCTTGGCTGCCTGATTCAATTTCAGATAAGCAAAATAAAGCAGCAGGCAACTGCTGCACATGCGAACCCCGACATGGGAGTGGGCTAAAAATAAAGGGGGCGGGCGGTTTGGGGGGGTTGTCCTGGCAGGAGTCAAAGACAAATGCGTTGCCACATTATGCAGTTTGCTGTCGGTTGTCTGAGTCGTCGTAGGAGAGTCGGAGTCTGAGTGGCACATCACCCGCATATCCTTGTCCATGGCATCACTCGTCCTTCCTCTCCACTCGACCCCCCTCCATATCATGCCCCCCGCTTCCTACACCACTGCCATCCGACTTAGACGGAAATGACGCACTGTCTGTCATGGCACTCTGCCCTGTGCTGGCGTTGATGCATCGATGCTGTTGACTCGGCGCCGCTAAATGTTTGTTTAGCAACTGCAACTGCAACGACAAACGAGATCTGAATACTCATGCCCAGTCTCCTTACACTCGGAAAAAATATGCTAAAAACTACGCAATATTGTAGGTATTTTTAACTAAACTATCATTTAAAAAACACTAGGTACGCGTATGCTTAAAAGTTTTTTTTTCTGGTAAATCGAAATAATTAAATAAATAAATAAATATTTTTGTTTCCACAAAATTACAAACAAATGTAAATGCAATGGAAGCAAATAATTAAACACAGGCAAATAATTAAAAATGAAGTAGGTACTTATATTTCTAACCAATTTATAGAAACAGGTTTCTTTTTTGAGCCAACCTTATTATTATAAACAAGGTAAATAAATAATAAACGTTTCTTTTTGGAAATAGTAGATTTTTGCATATCGAATCAATTAACAAAGATCACTTTTTTTGGTAAATAAATATTTAAGCAAGCTTAATTGCAGGAAGGTTTTTGCCCAAATACATGTATGTTTTTTGCAATTGAAATTTGAATAATTAATTTGGTGATTAAATTCGTTAGCTCTATTTCTTCAAGTGCACCTCTCGGCCACATTGAGCGACAGCTATCAGCTACCGCATGTGGCCTGGTGCCTGGGTTTGACTTGGTTTGACTCGGTTCTCGGATCCGGCGTCGTCACGCCTACCCATGTATCATGTGTGCACGGAATATATTTTCAGCTCGAATGTCATAAATAATATTTTGTGGGCCACGCCCACTTGCCCACATCCACAGCCACACCCGCACACAGAAACACACACACAACCACCGCCAGTTGGTGTATTTGATTTAAACTCGCTCGACTTTCGCTTTGCCCTTTTATTTAGCCCCGTTTTGGCTGCTTATCCTTTGGCAAGGCAGTTTATTAAATTTGCATAAATGTTGAGCATTTTGCGGCAAGTGTTCGTTGTTGCTCTTTTTTATTTTTGGGGGTCGAACACGTGCCGCCTCTTTGGCTTTGCAACAGCTGCCACTAATGTCCAGCTAGCTGGCAGTTCATTAAACGAGCAGGGCAATTAGTGTAGCCGGGGAACAAAAAAGCAAAATATTTATTCTGAAATTGAGGAAAGAAATGAGAAAAAGCCGAAATGTAAATAAGGAATAAGGAAAGGAATGAGAACTCGCTTCTACGAAATGTAAACACCTGAAAACGGGCCCCATTTCTTTAGCCAGCAAATACGTAAGAAATGAACTCCACCAATACAAATACCCACGAAAACATGGCCGCAAATCAGTGTGCAATGCGCCGTGAAATATGCAAACAATGGTGCCTCCTTCTTGCTCGTAAGGAGCACACTTTTTCCGGAATTATGCAGCAATGGGCAAACAATTGCTGTCAGAGTAGAAAAAGCAGGTAGGTTAACCCCCGAACCACCGTCTCATTGTCAATGTCGCCTTAAATTATGCCAAAAAAAAAAAAAAAAAACACGAGGGGAAATAAGCGAGGCCACCAACTAGACTGTAGACTAGTTTCGGGCAGACAACTATTGTACAAGCGCCGGCAGACTTTTTCAAAGCCACTGACCCCGAAAACAGGACAAAAAGCAAGGGAAGGGGAAGGGGAAGGGTAACACGATCTCAGCATGGGCGCACAAGTGCATCTGAATTATCGCCGGGCGCTAGTTTTTTCGTTAGCCTGCTTACCCATTAAAAAAAGGCTGTATTCAGCAGGGATTTCGATATCTCTAGAAATATTAAATTACTTATGTTGGTAAAAAAACTCGTTTGAATTAAAAATGTCTGATAAGTATTGTGAACTAGATTTTATTTAATTAAAGTCTTAATAAAATATAAAATAACAACAAAAGCAGTAAATTGCTCTTACTTAAACTTAAAACACTTTAGGGCACTACCCTGTCGGTTGGTATTTTTTGAACCACAGCTCAACACTTGCTCTACATACTATTGTTCGTTATTCTTTATTCGCGGCTGCTACTGCTACTGCCACTGCTACTGGTCCTTAGTCCTGAGTCCTGCGGCACATTTCCGCCTAGAATGCCATAGCCGCCATTTGCTATGCAACATTTTAGACGGTGGCAATGTACCATAAAAGGGGTCGTGGAGTGGGGATGAGTAGCCGACACGAGAGTCTGCCACGAATTTATGCGCCTTTCTCCGTTCCTTGTGCACTTTGCACTCTTTCTTCGTTTTCCCCAACCCTCAACCCCCAGCCCCCAGCTCTTATATTCCACCCACCGGTAATGCTTAGTCCAAGCATCCGTTTCCTGTTTAAGTGCACACCCGAAAAAAAGTTTCGCCTGCATTTCGCCTTTTGTGGCGCGGCGCATTTTGCCAGCATTTTGTCTCGCTGCGGTTCTCGGTAATAAATTCTTTCCTTTTTTCTGCTCCGCCTCCGTCTGTGGCTCCGGGCCACGCCTCCAACTCCACCCACTCGCTGCCCTTGACTGCAGCATCCTTTGCTGATCCTTGTCGGCTTACAAGGTGTTTAAATTGTAGTTAATTTTGTTGCCACTTGAACGCTTCGGCTTCGCCTTTGATCCCTTTTTTGGAGGATTTCTTAAAAGTTTAAGTCGATTTGGGTCCACACTGAGACGAACTAACGAAATATTTTAAAGGTTGTTTATTGTAAATAAAAAAGTTTAGATATATACAAATTTAAAAATAATTCAAATAAATATAAAAAATATTTTTTATACAATAATGATTTTTTTTTTGTATAAAAATTGGTTTTAAAACATTATGTAATTTTTTTCTCTGTAGGTCAAACGCTTAACGATGGGTCTGCTGCGCCACAACGAAGAGTCACGGCCACTGGTGGGCGACATGACCCCTTTAAGCGCGCCCCTGGACATACAGCCGGTGTATTCGAATGGCTACATAAACGAGGACTCCTACATCGACAGCAAGTTCGGCGACTCGTGCCGTCAATCCTTGACAGCCATTCCCATGCTGGACAATGTCAACCTGAACGACAACAACGAGTTCAATCTGAAGAAGCGGTATCTCAGGGAGACGAGCAGCGGTAAGGATTTTACTAAAATATTTTCTGCAGTAAAAAAAATCAGAAAAATTTCTAATAGTTTTAACATTTAAATCCTTTATATTTTTAGTTCGATTTTGTTTAACTTTATTTTACAAATTTCAAAGTTAGGAAAGGTTACTGTTGTCTACGTTTTATGTTGCTTAGTTTTACGGTAAAACTTTTTTTGAAAACCATATCTTTATGAAATTCCTTTTCATTTCCCAGCCAACTCAAGCCCCAAAATCTTCGCAAATCGCCTGCGGATGAACCAGGGAACCGGTGCCCAGCGGAGCAGCAGTCTGGCCAACGCATTCGGCAATGTGGGTGGCGAGGAGGAGGACCTGGATCTGAAGGATGCTTGCTGGTATCAGGCGGGCATTTCCCGCGATATAGCCATAGAGGTCCTGCAAAGCAAGAGCCCAGGTGCGTTTCTGGTGCGCAAGAGCAGCTCCAAGCCAGGATGTTATGCACTCACACTGCGCGTACCTTCGCCACCTGGGCCAAAGATAGCTAACTATATTATCCTTGGGTCTCCAAGGGGCTACAAAATAAAGGTAAGTTAATAAGATTAGCCACTATTAAATATATTACAATACTTCAGAAAATATATCATTTTCGAAAACAAATTTTATTTTGTAAGTATTATTTTAACATGGAGATAAATGTATTTTCCGTTTTAGGGCTTTCGCAAGGAGTTCTCCAGCCTGAAAGCCTTGATCACCCATCACTCGGTGATGCCCGAACTGCTGCCCGTCCCACTGGCCATGCCCCGTCCCACCAACATGTCATCCTCCCGGCGGAATCTCGACGACTTTGATACCTACGACTCGCTGCAGATGCTGCTGAAGTATCTGCGTGCCAAGAACATGGAGACGGAGCAGCAGCAGTAGCTAATGGAGGAAATCGATCAAATGATTGCACAAAATTACATTTAAGTTCTGGTACGGCAAAATTGTTTTGCTTGAATCGAACCGATACCGAGAAAATGTGATACTCTATGAAAAAGAAAAACACAGACACTGCAAATGAAACGCCTAGCTGATAAATGGTGAAAGTATCTATAGTTTAGTTTAGTTTGGGTTTTTGGTTGTTCCCTGTTTTTGGATTTGTGCGTTGAAGTAATAAAAGAGTATGAAAGTGCGAAAATATGGATGCTTTGTCAGGGACATTGCAACTTACTAAGAAAATAAAGAAAATATCATCCCAAAGCTTTCTAAGTTTTTTTTCGAAAAATTGTCATTTTCAAATTTGTGTCATTGTTATACAAAAAATCGAAACTTTTAACTTGTTCAATTGGTCAGCCGGGAATGTTTATTTTTCAATTTTTTTTTTTGACATTTTCAACTGCAAAATTGAAAAGATATTTCAAATAAAACAAAATAATATATACCAAATAGGGAAAAAACTCTATGTTAAATGTTGTTGCTGCTTTCCATTGTTAAGCATAAATAAATATATTCCAAATTGAAATGCATATTTTAAATGTAAGCAAAACAGACACGAACCGAAAATCGACCCAAAAATGTAAATAATTCACTACCGTAACATAATTGAGTAAACAAAGTTGTTTAATTTATAATACAAAAAAATGCCAGAGAAACAATAAAAATAAAAACACAGAACACGAGTATTAACAATCAATTTCTCTTCTCTCGCTCATTATGCAAATTTTGTGCATGGGCAGCTGCGTTCCGAAATGAATTTTCACACGTTAATTATTTGTTGGCGACACAAATTCGCATTCAGGGCTCTTTAATGTTGAGATCAACGCGACTGTTCCACATTGTCCTGCAGCCTGTTGTTGGCCTAATCACTGTCGTTATACAATTTTAATTTGCTAAACTTTTAATCGAAAAGCGAAAAGAAAATCAGGGCCGGAAGGAAGGAAACCAGAAGGGGGGGCCAGAAAGAAGCAAATCGAAAGTCTGGCTAGGATCGTAATCCCTTTTTTAATTGCAGCTATCCAAGAATACATTTTTTTCCCCGCTTCGGTTGTGGCAAGTCTTTTCAATGGAAAACTTTCTGGCCATCGGCGATTTTCCCCATTTTCCCATCCCACATTCTCTCGTGTTCGTTGTCAAAGTGTTGTCTACTTTTCTGGTGGAAACTTTTCCTTTGTTGCAATTATCGGCATCGCTACACACGAAGGCGTGCGCAAATGAAATAAAAGTAAAGGCCCAATAAAAAAGAAATGGCGGCCATTTAAATAATTCGAAAATCGCCAAAGACGTTGTCACCATTCTCCTTCCCACGGACAGCCTAAAGTATTCATGAGAAAAAGACTTGCAGAACTTTTCCCTGCTTTTTCACTTTATTTGTCAATTATTGTGGCACAAACAAACTGGCAGGGGAATCGGGGGAAGAAATCTGCGGGGATGGCCTGTCATTCAGTTGGATGTTTTTGACAATTTGCTTCTTAAATATTTAATAAGCCAAAGTGGTCGAGTGGAACAACAAACAGAAGACGTCGAAAATCAATTATATATAGCATGAACATAATGTTTGGAGGGGAAGCTTATAATTTCTAAGTGGCTTTAGCATTCGTCTGAGCGCTTTGCATGTAAAAAGTTTTTTAATTGAACATTCTCAATGGCAAATAAGACAGGCAGCAAAAAAAAACTTGGTTCAGAACCCAATTGCAGTATGGCGACGTTCCCATATTTACCCTGGATTTTTGCTCTCTTTTACAAAGCTTTTCATTAGTCGCATTTCTTTGTTCTACAACTTGTGAAACCTCCTTTTTCCCCCGAAACTTCAGTTAGACAATGGCAAAAATTATTGCTTTGCTTATTTGCGCTGCGTTTTCTTCATTTGTCAGTGGGTTGTCTTTTGTTATGGAGCCACCGAACCCACAAAAGATATAATAAGAAAAGTATAAAAAGAGATTTACTTTTCGTCTCAACTTTTTCATTAGGCTAATTAAAAATGTTTGTGACACCGCTGAGAGTGAGAGTGTTTGCCAATGTCTTGAAAGTTTTTTCTTCATGGAAAGCGTAACACATGGCGTATGAGCTATAAGTGCTTTATGACTCCAAGGTAAACGAACTTTGCGGGGATTACCACTTAAATGGAATTCAGCGCCTGCAGCAAACTCGGAAATAAAAACCGTTTGCTCATCCCGTCCGAAACTTGTTAGGCTTGCATTTTAAGTAACTTTGGCAGTCGGACCCAGAGATTCGCTTGAAAATGTAAACTTAAAAAAGTAGGGGACAGAGTTTTGCACATCCTGTGTCTACGTTGTCGCCTTGGCTGACATTAAGGCGACAATTGCTAGTCCTGCTCGTCATTAAAACTCCAACAATGCCAGCCAACGAAAAATTACAGAAAACAATAAAAAAAAGAAGTAGCAGTGACAGAAAAGTTTTCCACTCTCTTAGTCTTTTTATTTTTTGGCAAGAATATGTTTAAGTGTCAGTAACAGTTTTCATGCAAATATTGTTTGGGGACTGTAGGGAATGAAAAAGAACTACAACAAATGCTAAACATAATGCGATGTCGGGATTAAAGTGCCTGACAGCAGTTTTACGGCGTTGTTAGTGTTTCTTAGTCCCTCAAAAAAGTTTTCAAGATGAAAAAAAAAAAAAAGCAAGTAGCTTTACTGAGCTTAACAAAAACAGTGTTTTAAATTCGTAGTTCCTGCCAAACTATTACAATTTTTAAGATTTTAGAAATAGTTATTTTTCTATTAATATTTAAAGGGGGCAAGGAAAAACTCGCGGCAATGCAACGCATTTTTCTTCTATCATGCAAGAATACTCAATTTTTCGAAAACTAAGCCCATTAAATATATTTGCCGCTCATGTTTAAAGCGTTGCTTAATTTAAGCCTGTGAGAACAATCTGTGCAAATTACAACGCACTGGGGAAAATCCTGCGACGCCCACAACTGACGGGCTCAATTACAAAACTGCAGCCTGGAGTCCTAGTTCGATTATGCATGCAGTTGATGGTCGAACAGGACACCTCATTAATTTGCTGGGCTGCGGCAATAACAATAACAGCTATTTCGGCTATTTGGCTCATTGACTGCCTGATTTTATGGCCCGACTCCGGTTGCTGCTGCTGCTGCAGCTGCCTCTCATGCCCAAAATCAACATCAACATTGACCCAGGAGCAGTTTGTCCTGCTGCTGACGTTGCTGCGTTGCCAAATATGTTTTTGTGGCATTTTTGGCCAATTGGCAGACGAGTTCGCCCAGTGCCGTTGGCCAATTGAATGCAGCAGACGCGAACGTGGACCTCGTAGTTGTAGTACGGCTGCCTGTGGACGAGTTCCCTGCTGATTATGCCATAATGTTTGGCCACACCCGGCCCCCTCGTGTTTGCCTGTTTGCCTAACCCAAATTGCATGCTATTGACCAGGATTCTACATATTTCAAGTGGCAGTGAGAGTGGGAGGGGAACCAGCAGTTGCCGGAGTTGTGACGGCTGCCCTGCCACTTGAAACTTTTCCAAATCACACTCTTTGCCGGCACAGTTCGATCAACTATAAGTGCAGCTGAGGAGAAAAAGCACGAAAAAAGGCAAAATAAAACAAGGGACATAAAAGTGGCTGACATGGATATAAAGACCGAAAGATGCGGTACCCTGTTTAAATATGGTAATGATAAAATATATGCAGAATTTATCAAGCTTTAAATTGTGAGTTTAAAAACAAAGACATTCAAATCTGTGAAACAATGATTAAATTTATCAAATTCATTTTTGTAAATGCAATTTTTAGTTGAAATTTAAATGCAAATTTGTAAAAAGTAAATGTAATGTTTAAATAACATTTTCAGTTTACAATTAACGAAAAGGTGAATTTAAGTTTGGTAAATATAAAGTTGACGGTGATAGGCATCAATGCAATAATAACTCACAAGCAAACAGTAATTTATAAACAGATGAAATTCTAAGACGAAACTCTAACACAGGATATCTTTAAGCCCCTTATGTTAAGTTTCCAAAAAGACAAGTTCCCAAGATTACTGTAAGATTTCTGTTATGAATTATTAATATCTCTTTAAAGCAATATACCATGTTAAATAAGGCTTTAGTGCAATATTTACGTAAAAATTAAAGTCTTTCGCAGATTTTATTTCCGAATTCCAATACCCAAGTGATTGCCATTGATTCCACATTTGGCTCGTTTTCATGCACATCAGCTATCGAAGTCTGATCAAATCCAGTTTAGCATGCCCGACATTTATTTGCCAGTAGCAAGCCAAGTAAAGCCAACCCATCTAGAGTCATACACACATGCTCAGTGTGCAACATTAATGCACTATGGCTGCTAATGCAGCAGCGACAAAGGAGAGGGGGGAGCGGTGCCAAAAGGGCGTTCGGCGGAGGAGGAGGCGTGGCAGCTGGGAGGTGGTGAGGCAAACAAAAGCCAGTAAAAGCAACAGTACAGAGTTTTGCCGTGCCTGCTCCGCTTTCTCATGGATTCGCACTCGCATTCATTTTTGCCGTTCGCCATTGTTGCAGCTGCTGCCTTTCTGCTTATTGTTGTAGAACACATATACACCCAGAAACGGTGCCGTACACTTAGAGAAAAGTTATTTGGTTGATTTCCCTCCCTAGTTAAACATATTTAATAATAATTTGTTTAATAGTTATTAATTTTTTTATTTTTGAGATTTAGAGAAAAAATTGAAGGAAACTTCCAAATTTAATAAAATCCGACTTATACTTTTAGGTTTTATTTTAGTTTTTATAAATTTTTTCAAGTGCGCATAGAAACATATACTTATGTGAATGCTGCCGCTGGCCTGACTTTTTTGTTTAATTCGTTTTTCTATTGTTCACAGCCAAGAACTTTAGTCCGAGGGGCTTTGGCAACATTGTAAAATGCATGAATGTGTTAAGCCAACTCACTATCTGTCCCCCGTTTCCACTCCCCAGACTGCAGATTTTTGCATTTTGCAAGCATAAAAGTTGAAAGCGACATTATTGAATATGCGTTGTCGTTGTCGTTGTCGCTTTGCCATTGTTTGGCTCACACATCGCTGCAAAGCCAAAAGCTTAGCGGATTCTTACGCCCATTGAAATTTATATGCCACTTTCACACACATTAAAGCCGAAACGGCCAAAAGCGAATCGAATGTTTAAGGTCAGACGACGGATGGTTACAGCGCAACTACAGATACTCCACCACCAGCACTCCACCCCCGTGCTTATTTATGCTTTGTTTGTCGCTTTGGCTAATAAATTAGCAGCTTTACCTTTTGGCCCAACTGCAAGCCAATAGCAATTTATCGCAGCCACAAAGAAAGGCACGTAGCGAAAGCGGTATTTTCCCGGATCGAAGGGGTTCGTCCTTCCAAATGTGCTCGCCTTATCGCCGGCTTAGGCGACACGCACTGGTGGGCTAAATCAGGTGAAAGGACGAAACGACGGGCGGAGTCCTTCCAACGAGACAGGAATAGTTGCTACCGACTTTAGCCTTTGACTAACGACTGGCGACAATAAAAATGGCCTGACAATTGGCACATTGCGGTTGCAAGTTAAAAGGATTTTCGATTTGAAATTATTGCCCGGCAGCTTGGAGAGAGTCTGGAGAAAGTTCTAGACCAAGGAATTTATGTAATGAAAGTCAAAGTAGATTCTTGCTCAAATTAAATTGCTTGAATGCCAAAATCATGTTTAAGATAAGTTTGATAAAAAAGCTAACTTTAATACAAATGTGGGTAAAGAACCATTTTAAAATAAAAAATATTGCATTGAACTTCTTAAAATGTTAATAAGATTTTTGTTTTTTTTTTACGTTAAAATATATATTTTTTAAACTTAAGTAACTTTGTTATACGTTTTTTAGGCACCATGCTTTTTAATACGTTTTTAATTTCTGCATTTTTTTATATCTGTAGTTATCACGATATTAAGTTAAATTTCATAAAATGTATTAAATAAACTTGTTGCTTTTATGTTTTAATTCAAAAGTTTTTTATTACAAAATTTGGTATTATTATTTTAATTATTACAAAAGAAGTCAGTAGATAGAGTGGTGAAATTTTCACCAAGTACAATATAATAAAACTACTCCCAAAAGTAATGAATATATTTGAACTTTAACACTTTAAGGTCACAAATTTAATAAAAGCCTTTGGCAAGTGCAACAAGCAGGCCAGTCCTCATGAAAAGAAAATCTAAAAAATATATATTTCGATTGCGTGCCGCGTGTGGAAAAGTCTTGGAGATTCGGAAACGCTTGCCAGGATTTATCGTGCGTCCATTACAAGCGGAAATTAAGCGCGGCAGGTCGCCGGCTGGATGAAGGGGACGGGGTAAGGGGTAAGGGCGGGCGTGCGTGAAAGCGTTTTGCCGGCTGGCCATAAAGTAACGAGCGGGCCAAGCATTCCAGCGGACCAAAGCAGAGCTATTGTTTTCGGATCCTGCCAGAGTCCTTTGGAGCCGCTTTGTATGCCAGTCACGTGGCACGCAACGACAACTTGGGATTTGTTAAGTGGCGCGTCGTTTTTGATGTGCGGAATGTTTAGCTCAGGTCCCCAACTCTCCGGCCATTCTTATTTCCTTTTTTTTTTTTGGATTTTTGGTACGGAAAAGTCCATCACGTGTCCCGGACATTTTGCACATAACTTGTTTCAGCGTTTTTATTGCCAACTTCCGCTTCCGCTTTTGAATGCACTACGAATGTCTTTTGTTTTTGCCCACCTTGCGGTTAATGGCACTCCTTCGACTGGCAAAAAAGCGAGGAACCAGTGCGGTAAGCACTCCAGCAACTCCATCAGCCATGGCTGATTCGATTTTCCGATGTGTACCTTTGCTTTTAGTGATTGAAATCGCACATTTTAAGTGAAAAAGCGCACACAGAAGTGCACTCAATCATTCGTCACGTGATTCAGTCGGCAGAGTCGAAGTGAACACCTCTTTCCCCCTCCTGACTTTTCCGGGTTTTGCCGCCTTTCCCGCCTTTCCGCTGTGCTCCTTGTGCAAATGTTTTTCTAAGTTGGACATCGAGTGGAAAGTGTTGGAGCGCCGCGACTGTGTTGATATAAAAGATTACGCCACCAGATGAGAAATGGAGACACAATTGTTCATGTTGTTTATTTGGTTGGGGGGTGTGGGGAAATGAAAAGCCCGGCGATAATGCCACGTAAATGTTGAGAATGCGAAATCAATAGCTTTAAGCCGAGTGGCAACTCAATGGGGAAAATCGCTGAGCTCCTAGCGAAAAACTTTTCTAATTTGCGCATTATGAAAATTGGGTCGCTACATAAAAATTCACCAGTTCCCCCCTTCCCGAAGGAGAATTGAGTGAAAAGCAATTTTTGAGCCTAGTCAAAAGGGAGCGAATGAATGAAAAGAACTGAGAAAACTTTTCCATTAAGAAAATTAACTGAGATTAAGTGGGGCCCTATGCTTTTGGTCCGCCGAAAACTTTACCCAATTGGGATGAATCAAAATTGCAACAATTTCAAGGCATTTAAACAGTTGTCACATACACACAGACCCACACACCCACGCACACACATACAGCTACCCACAAGAAGCGCCGGAAGTGAGCCTGAAAACGGAAGCAGCGCACAACACATGGAATTGGCTTAAGGAAGAAAGCGGAAGAGAAAGGAAGGGACTTTATTTGTTGCCTGCCACACTTCGGCTGCTTGTTTGTTGCCGCCACCGCCAATGTCGGCCCCGTCGATACTAATCTAATTTTATTGATATTGACACAATTTCTGCAGATTTCCGCATAAACATAAAAACAGAGCCCGAGTTCCGAAGGTTCGGTTCAAGTAGCAAAACAGTCATGGCACGCAGACAAATGGTATCTAATAAAAATTGAACAAAAAGCAAACAAAAGTTCGATGGTGCGGCCGTCGTTGGATGAAAGTCAAACAATACTCAAGTACTCGGCGGGCATTTCCTGTAGCAAATCGAGAAGGCAAAAAATATCAGTTTGGCACTACAGTTTTTGCAGAAAATAGAAGTTGGAACAACAATTTAAAGCAAAGTATAGCCCAAGTAATCAAATCTTACCTTACAATGTAGAATTGTTATAATACTAAATACAGAAATGAATACAAAAGTTTATGTTTTTATATGGTATTGTAATTTCATATCTTTCTTACTTTATTAAGATTTTAATTTAATTTAATTCAGTTATGAAATTGAACAACACAATAATTATAAAATCAAATTGTAAATCTAAATCCAAAAGGAAATCCCACAAAGCAATCGTTTTGTGTTTGTCCAAGTTAAGATAACAGTAACTGCGGGTAATGCCCACTTTAAAAAATTTCCGATTAAACTAAAATTTCCCAATTCGCTTGATTGCAAAATTCAGATTTTCAGAGATACGGATTTAACAGTCTTATACAAGATAAGGCGACAACTGCCAAAAATGTAATCTTATATTTTTGCAGTTGAATTCTAAAGCTTATATAACCGCTAGTCGAATATTAAAAAAGGAAATAAACATCAGCGAATGTGTGGTAATGTGAACGAATCTAGAGTAATCAGATTAAAGTAACAAAAAAATCCTATGGAAAATACAAAGTAAGACCTTTCAATCATACCTCTTTGACCAGATTAGCTATTTCAAAAAAAAATTGAAGCCTTATTTGCTGGAAATAAAAACAAACAAAAATTGCCAGGACCAAGACTACAAAAAATGTCTTTATTACGGATTATTATATACTGTTATCTTATCTTACTTGAAAATGTGTATGAATGCAAAGTTGCGGATTTTTAATGCCTGTCTTATAAAACCAAGAATAAATTAATTAATTTGCCCTTTCGATTACGCTATATCATTTTATTGTGCATTTAATACATTTATATATATTAAAGCGATAAAGGTAAAGTAATAAAGGCGGGACCATTAAGGGATACCGAGTTTATCAGCTTTATGATTGATCGGCAGCACAGGTTTCTTTCAAAAAGGTGTTTTGCCTAATTTGAGTGTCTGTTATTAAGACAAGACCGTAAAATTTGATAAACAAAAACTAAAGTATAGTCTTATCAAACTTAAAAATTATTACAAGTGCGTCAAATATTAAACTGATATAGATGTCTGCGAAATATAATCAAAACCTTCAAGTGGACTTGACCAGCGTTCTATTTTGATAAGCCCTAACAGGCCGGGTATAAAAGAGGCCTCATTCGAAAGGGATAACCACTCATAGTTTGATCGGGCATCAGCATGAAGGTTTTCGCAGTCTTGGTTCTGGCCTTCGCCACCGCCTCCGCTGGGCTCCTGCCCCAGTCCGGCATCCAGCATCCCCGTGACAGGACCTCCGTGCCGTCCATCGAGGGTCGCATCACCAACGGCAAGGATGCAGTGGCCGAGCAGTTCCCCTACCAGGTGGGACTCAGCTTCTCCAGCTCCAAGGGCAGCTGGTGGTGCGGTGGCTCCATCATTGCCAGCAACTGGATTGTGACTGCTGCTCACTGCACCGACGGGTAAGTGGGCCCCTTGTATTGCCTAGACAATCATAAATAACGAGGGAATTCCCTGTTCAGTGGCTCGTCCGTAACCGCTTACTTCGGAGCGACCGTCCGCACCAGCCCCAAGTTCACCCACACCATCTCCAGCTCGGATTGGATCCAGCACGAGAGCTACTTGGCGTTGACCGTGCGCAACGACATCTCCGTGATCAAGACCCCCACCCTTGCCATGTCGTCCGCCGTCAACAAGATCGACCTGCCCGCCATCGCCAGCAGCTACTCCACCTACGCCGGAAAGACCGCCGTCGCCTCCGGATGGGGCCTGACCTCCGATTCGGCCTCCGCCGTTGCCTCGAAGCTGCAGTTCGTCGATCTCACGGTCATTGACAACTCGGTGTGCAAGAAGACCTTCGGCAGCCTGATTGTGACCAACAACGTCCTCTGCGTGGCCACCCCCAACAGCTCCTCCACCTGCCAGGGTGACTCCGGCGGCCCCTTGGCTCTGGACGGCATCCTCATCGGCATCACCTCCTTCGGATCCGCCGACGGCTGCGAGATTGGAGCCCCTGCCGCCTTCACCCGTGTGACCAGCTACCTTACCTGGATCAAGTCCAACACCGGTGTCTAAGCTTTGGGGAAAATACAAAAATTGCAAGCTGTGAGAAATATACCAACAGATTGCTAAGAAACGTAACGCATTTTTAAAATATGGGTTAAAGTGTGGGATAAATTTAGAAAATCAATAAATGGGGTGTCTAGTAATTTGAGGAAATATAAGTAGACCTCCATTTAATATTATTAGACGAATTTATCAATCAATTAGATTACATAGTTGTTTACTAGGAAAATGTTCTGATTATGAAGTTTTTACCCATAACATTAACAAATATTGGCTTCTCTAATTCAATAAATTAACACACTCATAACTTATGATCTTACGGTAATGAAAACTTTATGATCATTATAAAATATTGAGCCTCGGGTTGTAATACCTTAAGCCCAGTAAAATCCCGGAACACTATCAATGGCCTTTTCACGTGTTGTAATGTAAGCAGAGGCGTGCAGTAAATTAAACAAATCATAAACTAAGCGTTGATAAAACGGCAGCCAGTCAATAAATATAAAGACCCCGACCCAGACATTATTGACAGCGTTGGGGGCTAAACAGAAACCATGGAATTGAAAGGCCGCCGACTAACTGAATGGGTCGAAAGCAATTAAGGCAACTGCAGTGTGCCAAAGGAAGTCGTCGAAGGCCTAAGCAACATAATCGCCGAAACGTGCGGCAATTACACGGGAGCTTGAGGAATTGAATGCCAAACATCTGCTGCTCTTCCCGTCTCCGGAGGTATAATTTGCACTGGGCCAAGCAAATTCAATTATCAGTCGAAGCGGACACGTGCCAGGGCCAAAAGACGACGACGCAACGTTGATGCCACAATCGCTGGCTATAAAAACACCAGCTAAAACAACAAAAACCCCAGTACTTCACATGAAGGGCCCACTCAGACCAGAACTTGGACTTGCCCATTAGAACATCAGATATCAGCATTTAATTCACTGGTAAAATGAAAAACACGATGTCATTCATAAATTTCATTCAACATAAAACTGATTTTATAATTTAAGAGGCACTCTCTTCACATGATGCTTATCATGCATATATTTTGTATGACCAGACTTTTAAATTATTTTCTATCAGCATTTATTTCACTTGTAAAATGGAACGCCTGATTTCATTCATTCCACATAACATCAGTTTAGTAATGTAAGCGGTGCCTACTCGCCATGAAGGTTAAAATATATATGGTATATGGGTAACACCAAACTATAAACAATTTTTCGCATTCCTTCCTAGTGATAAGATGATGAAATGCCAGACAATGATTGCATTTATTTGTCTACTATTCCCATTGATGGTTGTAACAAGTAAAAACTGGAAGGAAGATACTGCTGAGGAATTATCTGCCGACGAAGAAGCGATAATGGAACGACGTTGGCAGGTTGGATACGCGAATTGGCGTCTTCGCTGCGAGAAATTCGAGGCGGAGCAGAAGCAGACTTCGCCGGTAAACACTCGAATAGCTGGCGGAGAACTGGCTACGCGTGGCATGTTTCCACATCAAGTGGGCCTGATTATTCAGGAGAGTGGTGGAGCACTGATAAAGTGTGGTGGTTCCCTCATCACCCTTCAATTTGTGTTGACTGCAGCCCATTGTTTGACCGATGCCATTGGGGCAAGCATATACTCGGGCGCCACCAGATTCGCCGATATTCAGGACGCTGCAGAAGAGTTTTTGGTCACCCATCGAGATTTCATCGTCCATCCGGGTTACTTGGGCTATGGGGGATACAACGATTTGGCTTTGATACGACTGCCTAGGAAGGTCGTCACTTCAGATCGAGTGCAAGTCATTGAGCTGGCCGGAGAATTCATGCATCAAAAATTTCTCGAGGGTCAAGTGGTGACCCTTTCGGGTTGGGGCAGCTTGGGAGATTCCGCGGGAACTGAGACGCGATTGCTTCAGTACTTGGATGTGGAGGTGATCGAACAGGAAAACTGCACTTGCTACTTTCTGCCTGGATTGGTTAGTCAGCGACGACACCTGTGCACCGATGGACGAAACAGACGGGGCGCCTGCAATGGCGACTCCGGTGGCCCTTTGGTCTACCACTGGCGCAATGGCAGCTACCTGATCGGGGTCACCTCGTTCGGCAGTGCCGGGGGTTGCGAGGTGGGGGCACCCACTGTCTACGCCAGGATAACCGCATATTTGCCATGGATCCGACAGCAAACGGCAATGACCAACTAAATGCAATTAACGCCTAATTGCAGCCCATTAATTGCTAAACAATATAGTCCGGCCAGACAATAAAACCAATTTGAGCAATGAAATCGAGACAGGTTCCTGCCGAAAAGGGAAAGGTGCAAATGGTCCATTTTACGGGTGGACGGGTGGTTGTTTTCCCTTGAATGGCAAATGTTGCCGATAAATAACAATAAACATTTCGGCATTACAGCTCACAGCAGGGCAAGTCAATTTCGGGGAGCTCAATAAAAAGCACAAAGGGAAATTGCTGTTGAATTTCGCACTGCAATTGAAATCGTCTTCGTCGGGTTGAGTGTCCGCGTCCGCGTCCGCGGTTACAGCACTCTTCCCCATTTCCAGCTAATCGTCTTTAATTGGCCATCTGAATTGGCCATTAACCGCAGCGATGTGGTCAGCCGAACGCGTCATCAAATCACGCGGCAATCGCTGATAAAGAACCGCTGCGGTTGCGAAAACAACAGAATTTTGTTTGTTTATAATCGTAAATCGACGAGAGACTATCAATGGCATATATTTAGGACCAGAATGATTTCGGTTTTATTGTGAAATACTGTAATTCAGCTGTCAAGATGGGCTTCAAAAATCAGAGCAGTCGATCCTCCCCCCACCTTGACCTTTAACGAAGGTAAACAAACCGTCAAACCTTTTAAGCTATAGGCTTATAGTTTTTCTTCCAATAGACAGCCGATAAGATAGTACTCAAATACTATGAGAAGTAAAAGATACGTGAACGGCACACGTCACCCACTGAAGAGCAAAGCAAACCTTTGCCAATTTTATATTCGCAGTGTGTAGAAAACTAATCAAATTAATTGGCTGCTATCGCACCGCTGAGATCTGGAAAACCACCTGAGGCCTAGTGCCCAGATTAGATCCAAATCACGATTAATACCCCTGAATTGGGAAAGTATTTTTGGCGGCCGTGTGGCTGAAGTTCATTCATTCATATCTTTCGCACAGATCTCGGCAGGCAAGGCGTAGTTCGAACCGACTTCGGTGGCCCTATCTAATCACGGCAGCTCTATTTGTGAAATGCAGCCTGATCGCAGACACTAAATTTCCCCTATAAAAGACCCCTGTCGGGCCGTGGTAGAACAGTTCAGTTCCTTTCACTGAACACGCAACAATTCCCGAGATGAAGTTCCTGATCATCCTTGCCCTGGCCGTGGCCGCCTCCGCTTTCCCGGAGCCGGAGCTGAAGCACCGCAACCGCGAGATGCCCGTGGTCGACAGCATCGAGGGCCGCATCACCGGAGGCAAAAACGCCGCCGTCGGCCAGTTCCCCTACCAGGTGGGACTCTCCTTGAAGGTGAGCGCCTTGTCCAGCGCCTGGTGCGGTGGCTCTCTGATCGGAAGCCAGTGGGTGCTGACTGCTGCCCATTGTACCGACGGGTAAGTGTGCCCTCAGAACCTTGTACAGCTCTATCGTTTTCCTAACCAAACAATCACCGATCTTAACAACCATGCAGAATTCAGTCCGTGACCGTCTATCTGGGTGCCACCGTGCGTACCTCCGCTGAAGTTACCCACACCGTGGCCAGCTCCGGAATCATCATCCATTCCGGCTGGAACAGCAACACTCTGCGCAACGACATCTCCTTGATCAAGATCCCCGCCGTGAGCGTCTCCAGCAAGATCGCTCCCGTCAAACTGCCCGCCATCGCCAACTCGTACTCCTCCTACGCCGGTGAAACCGTGGTCGCCTCCGGATGGGGCCGCACCAGCGACTCGTCCAACTCCGTGGCCACCAACCTGCAGTACGTCGACTTGAGCGTCATCACCAACACCGTCTGCGCCAGCACCTACGGCACCTCGATCGTGACCAGCTCCAACATTTGCGTGTCCACCGGCAGTGGCAAGTCCACCTGCAACGGCGACTCCGGCGGTCCTCTGGTCCTCAAGAGCAACTCCGTCCAGGTCGGTCTGACCTCCTTCGGTGCCGCTGCTGGCTGCGAGAAGGGCTACCCCGCTGCCTTCACCCGTTTGACCAGCTACCTGGACTGGATCAAGTCCAACACTGGCATCTCCTACTAAGGAGTGGTCCGGAACTTACATTTCGCACAAAAATAAAATGAATTATAACGAATTTTAACCAGTCAATGTTTTGGGAGGGTGTGGAATAACTAGACACTTTCACATGGCCATTTGTCCAGTATCATTGATCATTTAAATAGCATTCTTTTGCCAAGTTACTCAATTGTCCAGCGTTATTATTTCAGACTTAGTTAATCAAATCAAATTATTACTTAAAAGCACAGAGCTTTATGAATTTATGAACCATAAAGCAATGTAAAAATCATTTAATAATAATAATTTTAATCTATTTAGATAAAAATTGAATGTGAATTCCGAATTCCGAAAAGCCAACCATTTATTTACTATAAGTAACTAAGTAAAAGCGATGAGGCAAATAAAATAAAACATATTGCGATAAAAAGCACACAATTGATATATCACAACAATCATAAGTGAAACGAGGGCGTTTCCCTAGCAAGCTGTTACTTGCCCTCGCCGAATAACTTCTCATTAAAATTCATGAAATTGCCAAGCGACACAATAAAAGCTCAAAACTTCGGGGGCAGCGGAAAAAAAAACCATAAAGGAAAAGTTTCGCTCAAGTGAAAGTTAAAAAGAATAACGCAGACAATATGTCAACACTTGAATTATTACGAGGCATTTAAATAAATGACTAAAGTTGTTGCTTCATTTGTAGCCATTTTCATTTTCAGGCCATCAAGTTTAATTCATCAACTTTTCAGAAGGAATCGGGGCAAAGTGTGGAATTTTCGAGCAGTGTAAGGACCTCACATGTGGCAGGATAGCAGGTGGTGCCTGAAAGCCAATCCTGCCCAGATGGTCCTGCGGCTCCGCATAAAAAGCATTTACTCAACACGAACCAAACGACAAAAAGCAGAGATGCAGACAGTATCAGGAACAGGAACCAAAACCAGATCCACATCCACATCCACATCCACATTCACATCCAGAGACATAACAAAGTCAGTCAGGGAAAATAGCTGCAGCTGAGCTTGAAAGTGGATATTCCCGCATCAAGCCCAAACCCTCAGACCGCCAGACCCCCAGATCCCAGTCGAGGGTTAAGGGGTCCAGCCGTGCTGATAAATGTTTGCATTGCGGAAATTTATGACAGCACAAAAAGTTTCCTGCACTCGTATTCTGTGGTTTAGATATGACAAAATATCATACATAACCCTCTGAAATAAAAAACGCAGAAGTTGCTATAGTTGTCACTGTGGGTATATGAGAATGTAGGCAAAGTTAGTTAAAATGTCAACCCGGAAAGCGGACGGCGAGTGTTTATGGCCAAAGTTTTTTATTTAAAATCCACTTTGCCCAGTTGCATTGCTCTGATTGAACGCCCAAAAGTTCGCCTCTTTCTTGGCCACAAAATTCGTTTTTCTTCTGATTGAAGTGAACTTCGTTTTGGGGCATTTCGTTGGCTTTTCCAAAGACAGTCAGTTGGTCATGTGGTTCTGTTTGATTCACTTTATTTGCCAAAACATTTTGCCAGCCTGCGGACATAGACAGAAACTCTGCAGCCGAAATCTGCATTGACTTTAATTTACTTATTTATGTCCTGGCACCTTTGGGCCAAGGCCCTTGGCCTCTGACCCAGTTCGCACCGATTGAATATTGAGCTCCGTTTCATGTGGCAGCTAATAAAATCAATTTTCGCATCGTATGTGGCTCTAATCACAGAGCAAAATCAATTAACGAACTGTCAGCTCATCAATTATGGCCAGTTTGAGGGACGGGGCCGGGACTTTTCGACTGGCGAGTCAACAACGCAATCCTGGCTAATAAATGCCAGCCAATTCAAAGCAATCAACTTAATTAACGATTTTTGGTGGGGCCATGATTCAGCTACATAATTAATTAAGTGGAGTCGGAATTAGCCAACCGAAAAAATCGAAAAAGGGAAAAATTCGCAGGATCAGCATTTCGGGGTCACCACAAACGTAATTCCAAATAGTTCATGTTTTTGGCTTAATTATATTTATGGTAAGGAGATTTAAACTTAGCAGAGAACTTTGCTTAAACATTGCAGAATTTGGGGTTCACCACACTGAATTTGGGAAAGCATGACTGATGTTTAAGATATAATTTGAAAATTAAGTAATCTTAGAAGAGTACCAAGGACAAACTTTGACTGCCATTAACTTAACCCCTTGATTCAGCGTGTGCCTGTGACACTTTGAACGATGTTCGGCTAATTAAGCGCCCAACAATTACTATTGCTCTAGCACTTAACAACCCCAAGTCACTTGCGATGACAGGCCAACACAGAAAGTGTTTCTAACAAAAAAGACCCATACCAAAATCCACAGGCACACACACACTGGGAGAGTATCGCACACTTAATTCATTTAACTCAAACATTTTCATTTATTTATCGCATTACTGGCTCTTTCCTCCCCAGTTGGAACCGCCATCACCAGAGTTTTTTTGGCTAATGACTTCCTGCTTTTCCTAACGCGCTCAGCATCCGGCTTCCCCACATGTGTATACTGTGTGTGTATGGATCTGGATAAGATTGGGTTGCGATGGGTTGGGCTTGGACTGAGAATGGGATAACAGACTGACTGACTGACTGACTGACTGACTGACAGTCCAAGCACCACCCACCGAGACATCTGAGGGGTAAGTGGAAGGCGCATCAGGCTCATTGAATGCTTTTGGCATGTTGCCCGGCTCGACACCATTATTTCTGGTAACAAGATAATTGTATAATGAAATCCAAACAACACTTGGGTCTCGGTGTGGCTCTGCTGGTGGCTCCACTTGAACCACCAACGCCCAAAACAAGTTCACTCAGCATCCACCACAATGACTTGACGGCAAAGTTCGCTGGTTTTTTGTTTGGACTCGGAGACAAAGAGTTTTGGGTGGTTTGCTTTTTGCCCTGACCGCTGATGGAGTGGCAATTCTCGTTCTGCTCCAAGTGGGTTTGTTTGATGAGCTAAGAAAACTGCAGATTTTCTATTAAATTCAAATGCGTAAACTGCTCAGCACTATGTTTTCGTTTAATTGAATTGTACAAAAATATGTATTTATTATTATTATCATTGATAAGTCTTATGACGAATTTGTTTATTGATAAGATATTATTTAAGTTTATGGAATTCATTCAAATTCACTTTCCTCTAGATAAGATAATATTTATTTTTAGTGCCATAATTCGAGTTCTTATAATTTAGACCATACTTATTTGCTCTTATAAATACTAATATTATATAAGTTAGAGGAACATTTTATCGCAATTTTATCAATAATAGAAAATGCCATTTCCGGTTATCTCACAACCTTTTAAGTTAAAGATTATTTGATTGTGATAGAGCTCCAGGGCAAATGCTACTTATCAGCTATTGTTGTAAGTGTCAAAACTAATTAAAAAAAGTCTATTATTTCGTTAGTGTCTTAACATTTAACCAACAAAACGATATCATATATGTACAAGAAGTATCCTCGAATAAAAGAGCAATCCTCAGTCAACAGTATCATCTGTCGAAAAACAACTTCCCCTTTTTCTCTTAATTTCATTCCATTCACATGGAAGTAAAATGTCTTGTCATGGTCTCGTGCCTTTTGTTTTCATGTCTCTTTTTTCCTGCCTTTTGTTTTCCCTTTGGGAGTGACAATTGATTGACGGGAAAAGTTAATGGCTTACTTCTGGCTTCATATAGAACTCGAGAAATACTTAAAGAAATGCGTTTGCTTTTGGGCCAACAAACGGTAGCAACAATAATTGACACATCTCCGGTTGTTGAAATTTTCCCTTAAATTCCGAGTTCACATCAAGTAGATAGTCCACACACTCACGGCCATATGCAAAGCCGCTCAGAGAGCACTCACCAAAATCCGCATGCCTCCATCCTAGAATCCTGGTATTACCTAGAGCCATCACTCAGTAAAAAAGGAGAGAAACGGCAGCAGGAGTAGGGCAAAAAATAATAATACTTTGCTTCTCCGGCAGGGCACAAAATAAAGACATAAAGCAAACAAATGCCGGCATCGAGGAGGAAATATGGGAGGAACCCGTCCAGAGGAAGGTGGATTGAATGGTTGACTGGCAGTGGAGTGGCTTTTAGTGCGTTCAAGCAGAAAAATATATAGAAAACAATAAACCGAAATTACAACAAGGGCAACTACGGCACGAGCCAAGAAAAAACAAGGAAAAAAAAATATTGCCAAACAAAATGTTTATAAGCCATCAAGCTTTCCCCAGCCCCAGCTGCATATTCATATAAATATTTGCATGCTAAAATTTGATGAGTAGTTATATATTTTCCGACACAACAACGAGGGCCAACAGCATTTCATCGAGCGGAATGCGGAGATATTTCAAAAGAGGATCGCATAAATTTGAGGCATTAATGAAGTCCCAACAAAAGAGATTCCCGACTGAACGAACAATCTGCACAGGATATTAACTATTCCCCTGCCCCGGCTGAACAACATCAGACTGCATTCAAATTCTGCCAGACAAGAAACGGTAAATATACAAAAGAAAAGTTGCAATATTCGATGCCAAGTATGCCCGGAACAATGGGAATCCACAGTGAGTTTTCAGAAGTCATTGATACGGCCCGAGCGGAATCATTTTTTTGGATGTGCCAATGCCAATAAGGAGACAAGTACCACCTCCGATGGGGACACGTACTTGTTTCGCTTCCATCCCCCCAAATTCGTCCTCCGCTCCGTGAAAATCCAATTGTCGTAGTAGACAAAAATCCTTGGCGTTGGCACACAATAATAAAAGCGATGGCGACGAAAAAAAAAAAGGGAGAGCCGAAAGCAATTTATCGAAAAGGATTTGTTTGCATGGCAGGAATTTATATTTATATATTTCGAGCTGGAAAAAGACTGAGCCTTCTCATATGCAAAAGCCGACGGATGCCGTCAGCTTATTGATAGAAAATCACAGTGAAAGCAAAAATTGTCCTCGCTCTGCGTTTTTCTCAAATATTTGCCAAGCCAACTCGGTATATATATATACATTTATGTATTCCCATATAATAACTTAGTTTGATCCCTGCGCATAAAATTTAATGGTGGCCACTTGTGTTTGTCGTCTGTTCGTCGGATTTGTGTCAGAGCATTGACAGTTGGTCGAAGTCAGTGCATTGGAGTATCCCAATAGCGACAACATGGCGTATGCGCTATGCTTACTACCACTTTCCGTCACCCATTCGCCGCTAAGCTCCCTTTTTATCAAGTTTTCTGGTCGAAGATTGCACTCAGGTGGAGCTGAGACTTGGAAAGAGCTTCTCAGTCTGCCAGCTGTTCTCTAATCAAACTTTTTCAATACATCGCGCATTAAAAACGAGTTGACAAACTGCAACACAAAACTTTGACCAAGTCCCGGGACCTGCTAAGTCCCGGGTTAACTTGGGTCACACAGAGTCGATAGTGGAGGTGGAGGTGGAGATGGCAGTCAAACGTGAGTCACGCTAACATCTCCACTTACAACCCAAGTGCAAAAGCAAGTTGCAGTTTGAAAAAAAGAATATAAAGCAAAGTTATCCAATGCATTTGCAGCCAGTGTAAGGTTTTGGGTAACATCTTGAAAATGCGATGATATAAAATGGGGCGATAAGTTGTTGGCAAGTTTGGGTCCTGCAAAAAAAGGTGGCCGGCAAGCACATTACTCATACGCAATGTGAGACTATCCCGGGAGTCATGATTAATGAGGCGGCTGCCGTTGACATCCCCAAAAGCAATTTGAATTATAGCAGGAAATAGACATAGTTCCCTGTGATAAGTCATCAGCGACCGAGCCAAGTGGAGAGTGTGGGCGGGTCAGCTGGGCCAGACAGTTGTCATTAATTCTGGTCAACAAGGAGTCGGAGACGGATTTCTTGAGCTGACCGCAGGCACAGCGACATTTTCATGACAATTTAACACAAAAAACTCATCTGACCGATCTTTGCCACACTGAGCAAAAAGCAAGAATGTTATAATGACTATTACTATTAGCTCTCACTAAAAAAAATAAGATTTATGTAGAAGTTTTTTTTTCACTTGTGCTTAAGGATTTTAGCTTCAAGTCAAAAAGAACTTGAAAAATTGTGAACCAAGCATATTGTTGTTACTCAATTTCATTATAATTTTACATATTTACATTTTGTTATGTTATGTATTTTTGTGCAAACTCTATTGAAAGCAGTAAAGAAAAATTTATGACATATTTTAAGCATTGTTTCTTAGCGACTGTCTTCTGAAACGGTGTTCAACTAACTAACATTTTATATTTTACGTTTTAGCTCTTTTATGAATTTTTCCAAGTGCCCACATACAACATTATTGGATTGGGGTATAGCGGCAGCCAAAACATACAATTCGAGTGGCAGTGGAAGCGTAATCGATGCGGCTCACATTAGATGGTTGCCCTGGAGTGGGCCAAACTCAGCTGAAGTGAGCCGGATGGAATCCATGGCCAGCCACCAGCATTTCAAGTGCTCCCCAACTGACCTCTTTGGGAGCTGCTCCTTTCGCTGCCACTGCCACTGCTGCTACTGCTGCTACTGCTGCTGCTTTTTATCCCAAGCTGCTGCTTCGTTTATCATTTGTTGTTCACTTGTCGAAATTTTATTGCTGCAATCTTGTTTGTCGTCGTCGTCGTCGACTCGTCCTTTTCCTTTTCCTCGTCAAAGGAGACCGAACGCTGGGGGACATTTCAAATGCCTTTCTAAGGACACTTGTACTCACATACAACTTTGGTCACACCATTAGCATCAATGATTCCAAATGATTATTTCAAATGGTTCTTACGATATTGATTAAATACAAGGTTCGGCTAAAACTTTGAGCAAAAACAGAGCACCCTCTAAGATTAATAATAATATTAAAATATAAAATAATAACTTTTATATTATTTCATAGCAAATGGAATAAAAACGGGTTGTAAAACTTATTTTCAAACTTTTATATTTTAATAATCATTTCTTGATAAGTTCATAGATAAAATATATTAAATATATTACATAAAATATAATTAAGTTTTACTAAAATAAATAAAATGTGTACAAATTGATTAAATCACATTAAAAAATAACTTTTATATTTACTTTTAAATAAATTATAACAGCATAAACACTTCATAGAATGTATCTAAGGGAAAATTAAGATCATTCGACTTTATGGGAACCTTCTGGCCTGCTATTATTTTTAAGCTAACTGTTACTACATCCATTTGAGCCAGAGGCGTAGTCGCCTCCTGGTGAATATTCGGATCCTTTTCTTACTCGCTCCCCTTCTACGCAACTGGTTGAACAAGCAGCAGTTTCCTTCTATCCGAAAGGACTGGACATTGTTGTTCAGGCTGTCGTTGTCGCAGCCGGATATGCGTCTAATAAGCGTGTGTGTCGGGTGGGCGCATTACGTATACGTAATATACATTTATATATAAGTGTATTACATACGTCTCTGCCAGCAATTTCAAGTGCGGCCCTTTTTTTTTGGGCTGCTTTAAAACTGGTGCTCGACCAACAATGAGAGCAAATATTTCAAGAAAATTAGTTTCCTTTGTTCCTCCTGAGAGACAGAGACAAAAGAAACGAATTTTCCCGCAATCAGCGAAAGGAGCAGCCATAAAAACAAGAGCAGCCACTGCAGGCAAACAAAACGAACGGCAAAGGAAATCAATAAAATGCAGTTAATCTAGGGATTTAATAATGAAAAAATTCGCCCGGCGGTGTTCACTCCTCTTTAAGAGAAAATCTATTTTATACCCGGCATTTATGGCCCAGACACGCACAGTGGCCCGGAAAAGTCAGTGGCTGGCAGCGGCAACTACAACTACTGCTACATGTGTCAGCATGAAAGGCAATGAATTGTTTTTATGTGCTAATGTCCGGCAGGAGCCTTTTGCTTTGCATGCCCGACACGTAAGGCGATTTGATTTCAATTTCCCAGATTCAACTTGCCACTGTCATCTGCCCGCCCCCAAATGAGCTGGCAACTTTGGCCCACCACTGCGTATGGTTAATATGCTTAGGGCCCGACCATCAGATAATCATTGGGAATTTCACCCACTCCAGAGTCACTAAGAGAGCCGCCGTAAACAATTTCTGATCGATGGCTCTTATAAGAATCATATAATTCGATTAGAGCGATTTTTTTAAAACGGGTTTTCCCGCTAAATATATACCATTTGGCAGTGCAAAAGTCATCCAAAGTCAAAGTCATTCTGGCAAAATAGCACGGTCGTCGTTTAGCCAAAATCTATGCTTATCACTTATCACTCGAGTGTGCGACGTCTGCCACCTGCTCGCCGGTGAAGTGAAAAGCGTTTAATTGAAAGCCTGCGGTGTGTAATCTCAACGGTTTCCCACCACTCTGATAACAGCAGATAATTTTTTCTGGCTTCGGTCAATCAAAGCCGATAAGTAGCACTACATCCTCTCAGGCGAAAAAGCCGCGATTGATAAGAAGTTTCACGCGCATAAACAGAAATGAGTTGGTCAGAATATCAGAGGCCCGGCCGCCGATATCCAGGCCCACTGGAGGGGTATATAAGTGGGGACGTGTCCGGTGGAGAATCATTCGTTCTTCGACCATCATGAAAGTGCTTGTAGTCTTCGCCCTGGCTTTGGCCACCGCCTCCGCCGCACTGCTGCCTCAGCAGCGCCCAGTTCACCCCCGTGACCTGCCCGCCGTGACCTCGATCGAGGGTCGCATTACCAACGGCAAGACCGCCTCCGAGGGCGAGTTCCCCTACCAGGTGGGACTCAGCTTCGCCAGCTCCAGCGGCAGCTGGTGGTGCGGTGGCTCCATCATCGGAAACCAGTGGGTGCTGACCGCCGCCCACTGTACCGATGGGTAAGTAACCTTATTTTCACTTCCTCAAATTAGGGGGAATATCTGGAATAGTGTTTTTTTTAACAAAGTTCAAAGAAATTACCTCAACAGAATTAAAATACACAAAGCACCAACACACTTGGCTCAATTTATCTGTATATTTGATAAAGGAATTTATAATTATTTAAATTTGATTTAAATCGTTCTGCCTTAAAATACTTTTAGAAGAATTTAAAAAAGTACATAAACCAGTAAATAACATTATACTAAATATAAATGCAGACAAAATTGAAAATACTTTTTCAGAATTCAAGGAAGCTTGATTTTAGAGTCTTATCTTTCAAAGCCGAATAGTTTTTTTTTGCAATAATGTACTATTCAAATGCTTTATAAATCGATCTTTATTCTTTAAAATCCTTTTATTGAATTTTAAAAAGTAAACAAGTAAATGCAACGCAAAAAGAAAAAACCATATCTACCTGACCTTAAGGAAGCTTGTTAGTGGTGGTTGATCTTTTAAACAACGAGTTTTTTTGCAATTATGTAATAAATTCTTTGTTTATAGTAGTTGACAAAACTATCTTATGTTATCCTTCTTTAAAGAGTACATAAACCAGTAAATTAAATTATTCTCAACGTAAATGCAATCAAAATTAAAAATACACTCTACAAGACAAGATTCAGAAAAGGATATTGTTAAATCTTAGAATTTAAAAGAAACTGTTTTTAGAAAAACCAATTAGTTATTATTTTAAAGTTTAGGATATTAAACAGGTCTTTCGACTAAAGCTTATTATAAAAGTAATTCGCCGACTCATGTCTATCTCTCTGATGCAGTGCCTCCGCTGTGACCGTCTACTACGGCGCCACCATCCGCACCAGCGCCAAGGTGACCCACACCGTTGCCAGCTCCAACTTCATCCAGCACGAGAGCTACAACTCCATGGTGCTGAGGAACGACATTTCCCTGATCAAGACCCCGTCGGTGACCTTCACCACCTACATCAAGAGCGTTGAACTGCCCGCCATCGCCAGCAGCTACTCCACGTACGCCGGACAGAAGGCCATCGCCTCCGGATGGGGCAAGACCTCCGATGACGCTTCCACCGTGTCCAACACCCTGCAGTACGAGACCTTCGAGGTGGTGTCCGTCGCCACCTGCCAGAATACCTACGGCTCTCTGATCGCCACCTCCAAGGTGATCTGCATCGCCACCCCCAACCAGACCTCCACCTGCAACGGCGACTCTGGCGGTCCTCTGGTCCTGGCCACCGACAAGATCCTCATCGGAGTCACCTCCTTCGTGTCCAGCGCTGGCTGCCAGTCCGGTGCCCCGGCTGGCTTCACCCGCGTGACCAGCTACTTGGACTGGATCAAGTCCAACTCCGGCATCTAAGGCAAAGCACTCTTCAAATAAATACGACTATTGATTAAATTGAAGTGTTTCGTGTTTTTTGGGAATCTCTAACTGTTATTCTAATAACTATTTGCTTTATGCATACATAGTCTTTTTAAATTGACAAGAAATTAGCTTAGATACACACGGAAGCCTTAAATTCGGAGTACTCATTTAAAAAAGAAGGATTATATTTTTTATAATACAAAAACATACATTTTTTCTGACGACCAAAGTGATTTGTGATATTTCTATATATAAGGATAAATATTAAATGGTTTGTGATGGTCTTAAAATCAGGGATCGTACATAATTATTCTTAATTTGATTGAAAAAAAAATAATAACAAATAAATTTTAATTTTTTGAGAAATATTTGATCGCTCATAATAAAAAAAATTTAAGCTAAAAAAAGTGTTTGATCAAAAATTTCGCTCAACGTAGGGAAACTTTTATGTACAGCGAATCAAAAAATAATTTATAATTTGTGATTTTTTGTATATATAGCTTATAATGAATACGGTCTTATAGTAGTTTTATAATTCACAGCATACGATAACAATACGATAATTGGCATAAATTTAAGCGGCATAAGTTTAAGTGGATGTGATATTTTCCATTATTGGGTAAACAAATTCGGACTCATGCATTATCTATTTTTTCGTCCCAAAAATGGCATTCTATTTTACCAGTACAATGCACTTCGACAGATCCACAAAACCTGTTAAACGATTCCTACTTAGAATTTCGATGTTTTACAATTTGTGTTTTTCAGAACCATTTAAGATACTGTAGCATACTTTACAGCCTAACAAAAGTTGTTTAATCGCGACAAATAAAAACCCATGGCTTCAAAAGGCATCCATAAATTATGGCCTTATCTTACCAACCGACTCTCGAAAGTTGAATGATTAGAAATTAAGAAATAATCAAGATGATTATTTGATCGTAATCGCATTAATATACTTCAGACATCGCAGCGGCAAATCATCATCCTTAACCTGTATTAACCTGACGATTAAATTTATAGCCCCCTTCTAATTAGTTGACTGCACCGATAGCAAGACTTGGGAATGGGTATATAAAGGCCGCAAATTATTGCAGAAAGACATAAGTCGTTTGCAATGAAAGTGCTTGTAGTTCTCGTACTGGCTCTGGCCTCTGTTTCCGCCGGCCTCCTGCCCAAGGCGACGCCAGTGTTTCCCCGCAATATAGTGCGCAGCCCCTCCATCCAGGGACGTATCATCAATGGCAAAGATGCCGCCGACGGCGATGTCCCTCACCAGGTCGGACTAGGCTTCGCCACCGCCAGCGGCAGTGGCTGGTGGTGCGGTGGCTCCATCATTCACAAGGAATGGGTGTTGACTGCTGCCCACTGCACCAGCGGGTGAGTAACCGAGTTGGAAAGTCCTTATCCAAAATGCGACATTTAATATATTGTGCATTTATAATCTAAAATATTGTGAATTCTCTCCTGTCCAGTGCGTCTTCAGTGACCATCTATGAAGGATCCGCCGACCGCAACAATCCCAGAGCTAAACTTGTCGTCAAGAGCAGCGACTTTGCGACGCACGCCAGCTACAACTCGATAATCCTGCGCAATGACATTGCCATGATCAAGACCCCGCCACACAGTTTTACGCAGTTTATCAACCTGGTGGCCCTTCCGGAACGGTCCAGCAGCTACGATACCTACGAGGGCAAGGTCGGCCAAATCTCGGGATTCGGTCTGATCTCCGACAGCGCCACCTCAGTGCATGACAAGCTGCAGGTCGCCGAGGCCACCATTATCGGAAACACCTTGTGCGCAGCTACCTTTGGAACGCTGATCGTGAACGACAAGGTCGTCTGCATCGACACCAAGGGCTCCACTTCCACCTGCAGCGGCGACTCCGGCGGTCCATTGGTCGTGAATGGCGTCCTTGTGGGCGTCACCTCCTTCGGATCGAGCGCCGGCTGCGAGAAGGGGCATCCTGCCGGCTTCTCCCGCGTGACCGGGTTCATTGATTGGATCTGGGACAATATTAACTCCAAGTAATAAGTGAACGATTTTTAATTTAAATAAAGCATTACCAAAAATCAAACCTTGTGTGATAACACTGTGCAACATATTTGGGTTTTGGGGTGTACCCTCAAACTGGCAGTCGGGTTTTGAAAGTACTTATCGAGTCAAGGTAAAACCCGATTGGGTTTCTCGGGTTAAGCTCGCGTTGTTGCTATGGACAGAAGAAAATAAACTTCGTATCAAACTTTTTGGCTAAATGCACCCATTCTGCTTTTTTTAAATTTTTGAAATAAAAATTATGAAATTAATGAATCAATCTGAATCGTCTCAAGAGATTTAGCCGTTTAAAATTCAGTTTTACTCCAAATCCTTGTATCGCTGTTGTATCCAAACGCGAGCTAACCCAGGGGCCCACAAAGGGATTTTGACTAGCTCCGTTGAGTGCGTTCAGCACCTGCACTGTGTTATTTATCTTAAAAGGGATGAAATAAGGCCTATACTAACTGTGTAAAGGAACAAAAAGAGTAAGTATATTGTCGAACCTCTCAATATTCGAAATATTTATTTATAGAAATAAATAAAGTAAGAAATGTGTATTATACATATCAATAAATCGATAAGGACTAAGATTAGCTAATTTTTCTAAAATTATCATCAACATTTAATCGATAAATCCATGATTAATACTTTTTCGATAAGAATGGTAAAACTCTTTGTTTTGAAGATAAGATGTTAGATTTGATTATTTCTCACCCTAATCAAATCTTTTTAAATCGGCTAAAAGATACGAGTAAATTAACTGAAATAAAGGAGCTTGTAAATTTCCGACTTAACTGATTGCGAATATCTGACATTAACCAACATGATCCGATGCAGGAGACTATATAAATAAGAGCCGAAGCCAAAATTGTTTAAAGTGACAAAAGCGATCGTACCATGAGAGTTCTAGGAGTTCTGTTAATTTCGATGCTTGCCTTGGTGGCGGCCCTCGAAAAACCCGTTCCCGTAAAGGATATGCCCGTAGGCAGTAAGATAAACGGACGTATTACGAACGGATATCCTGCATACGAGGGAAAAGTGCCCTACATTGTGAGCCTACGCTTCGATAATGGCAATGGTGGAGCCTGGGTTTGCGGTGGCTCGATCATCGGCAACGAGTGGGTACTTACCGCCGCTCACTGCACCCACGGAGCCAGCTCGGTGACCATCGGCTACGGCGGGTTGTGGCGCACCCAGCCACAATTTAGCCACGTTTCGTCGGATTTCATCGAGCACCATGCATACGATACTGGTAATCTTCGAAACGACATCGCCCTGATCCGTACACCACACGTGGACTTCTGGGCTCTGGTCAACAAGGTGGAGTTGCCCAGGTACGAGGATCGCTACAACAACTACTACGGCTGGTGGGCCCTGCTCTCGGGTTGGGGCAAAACCTCCGACTCCAGCGGAGTGTCTGACTACCTGAACTGCGTGGACATCCAGATAGCAGACAACTCCGTTTGCGAGGCCTATTACGGCTCTACGTTTATCACCCCCAACCACGTGTGCATCGCCACGCCGGAGAACAAGGGCTCCTGTAGCGGAGATTCCGGCGGACCACTAGTCCTCCACGAAGATAATCGCCAGGTGGCCATTGTTTCGTTTGGATCCTCTGAGGGATGTCTGTCCAAAAGGCCCAAGGGAATGACGCGAGTTACCAGCTACTTGGACTGGATCCGTGATCATACCGGCATTTCTTACTAATAAATTAAGAATGAAATAAAAGGACAATAACATTAACTAAAGTCTACTTTATTCTACGTTTTATTTCACCTACTTCCTAAAGCACTATGTTTTAGTAGGTTTGTGTCCTTAATTTAAGTTACCCCGATCTTTAATTGAACTAAGTTCAATTTTGAGAAATATCCATCTATTTTGTTACATGTTCAATACAGAAATTTTATTAAGAGGCTTGTTAGTAAGAGATGCCAGTGTGGTCGCGGATCCAGTCCAGGTAGCTGGTGACGCGCACCATTCCCTTGGGACCGTTGGAGAGGCAGCCGGCGGAGGAGCCGAAGGACACGATGCCCACCTGCCGACCGCCGTCATGGATGACCAGTGGGCCACCAGAGTCGCCGCTGCAGGTGCCCTTGTTCTCGGGCGTGGGGATGCAGATGAGGTCGCCGGAGAAGCTGCCGTAGTAGTTCTCGCACACGGAGTTCTCGCCGATCTGGACGTCCACGCAGTTCAGGTACTCAGAGACGCCGCCCTCGTCCGAGGTCTTGCCCCATCCGGAAACCAGGGCCCACCAGCCCTGATAGTTGTTGTAGCGATCGTTGTAGCTGGGCAGCTCCACCCTGTTGACCAGCGCCCAGAAGTCCACGTGGGGGGTGCGGATCAGAGAGATATCGCCGGATCCGTGCTCGATGAAGTCGCCACGACCCACCCAGTGGGTGTACTGGGCCTGCAGGCGCCACAGAGCTCCGTAGTAGATGGTCACCGATTCCATGCCATCGGTGCAGTGCTTGGCCGTCATCACCCAGGTGTGGCCGATAATAGAGCCACCGCACCAGGTGCCACCGCCGTTCCTGCTGAAGCCCAGGCCCACGATATAGGGCACTTTGCCCTCGGTCGCGGGATAGCCCATGGTGATCCGACCTTCGATTGGGGCCTTGCCCACGGGCACGTCCTTCCAGAAGACCGGCTTCTCGAAGGCCGAGGCGGAGGCAATTACGCCCAGGAGCACGACAGCTAGCACTTTCATTTTCGTCAAGTTTAGCGAACTTAATGAATCGAGTGGAACAGTGGCAAAGGTTTTATACCTTTCGACTTAACCGGAAACGAATAATTCTGCTGGCACCGTAATTTACAGCTTGCAGATAGGAGAACACAGAAAACAAAGTGTGCGGACTTGAGCCAACTAACTGAAATCTTGCTCAAGAAATTGGCATATTCGATAAGATTATTATCAAGAGAAGCTTGTCTACAGTGGATTTATTATCAATATAAAATATTAACATAATTAACTAAAATTTGCAAGTTCAAACGTTCATTATATACATAATTTTTATTATTAACATCTGATTTTAGTATTTTATGTTTATGTTTAAGTTTTTCTTTTTTTGCCATTTAAATAAAAAAACAATAAAAACGAAGCGATTCTTAAAGATTCGTGTTTTGAAAAGTAACGATGGCCGCCATATTTAAACGCAACGACGGTTTTACCACTAACCAGTGCTGCCACCACTTTCGTTAGCAAGGGCACCCACCAGCGCGAGCGCTACCATATTGATTTTTTTTAATGAACACTGAAAAACTGTTGCTATTCTGCCGCAATACGGATCGACTGTAAATTCAGATTGAAAAAGTGTTTGCCATTCATCGCTGAATCTCTGAATCAGAAATTAAAATTTGTATTTAAATGCATATGCTTTAATATTAAGTCCTTATTATTCTTTAATATTTAAAATGATTCTGCTTTTTCTTTATTCTAAAAACAAACGGTGAAAGCTTTATTTTATTTAGAAAAAAAAGCTAGAGTCCTCTCTGTCATAAAAGCCAGATCTGACGGGTAAAAAGCGAAACAGCAAACAGATGTTTCACATTGACTACCAGGGCTGGCGTTATATATCTAATGGTAATTGGTAATGCCGTAATGCTGAATATTTTATAAGCCATAATTTAAATTTAACAGAATTAACCAAAAGAACCAGTTTCTATGACGCTCCCATTATCAGGTTGTTCCCCATTGGAACTAGTTCCCCTAATTGCGGCTGTCCATCCCTGGTTCTACCCCCCAAGTTATTTGTGTGTTACTATTTTTATGCAAAAGAACGAGATAATTTAGTAGGTAAAAACCACACTTTTGTTGTCTCAGAATAAGATAAAAGACCTCTTGCCAACTCTGGATTGATCCAGGATAATCTTGTCGCCAATAAATTACCCTCGGAAAGACAGAAAATCCGCTTTTTCAGACAAGACGCCTGCAGAAAAACTACTTAAACAAGGAAAAGCGCGATTTTCCTGAGGTAAATAACTTCTGAAAAACCCAGTTGCTGGTGGAACTCTGCGAGATGAATGAAGTGGGAAGACAATAACCCATCAGTATCAAAGTAATCTTTCCTAATTTCCTCATTTGTTTTGTTGTATCAACAGGCATGATTACTAGAGTCGAACGGTAAATATAATGGATAACATAGTCTACGACTTTGCCAATATCACGTTTCAGCCGAAGGAAGTGGGATTCACCGGGGATCGGTGAGTGCTAAGAACGAATCCTTTTGGAGCTCCCATTAAAACCACCAATTTCAGGTCGTCCACTAGCTCCAACCTTTCGTGGCGACTGAAGGAGATGGCCATGTCAGACATGGAGGAGATGCGGGATGCATCCCAATCAGTACCACCGCCCCCCGAGTCCGACGATAATGTCAGCAGTGAGTCCAACGAATCCGACGATGTGGACTCCCAGTTGAGTCGCTGCGAAGACAATGACGATGACAGCGATTGCATCAGTGGATCATCCAGCCATAGCTCCAATTTCGGGGCTCGGGCGGGCGTGGCCCGGCGCAGGATGCCCGCCCGGGTGTCCAAGGACAACTTCAACCGGGTGTGCAGCGCCATCATGAAGCCCATCAAGAAGAAGCAACGCAAGGAGCTGAGTGCCAATGCCCAGACCCTAAAGAGCATCGAAAAGCTCTACACCAGCAAGCGGATGAAGAAGTTCACGCCCACCAATCTGGAGACCATCTTCGAGGAGCCCAGCGATGAGAACGCCGCCGATGTGGAGGACGACAGCGAGGAGTGCTCCATCAGCAGCCAAGTGAGGATCGTGAAGTTCGGCGGCAGGAAGCTGCGACGGGCCATATCCTTCAGCGATGGCCTAAACAAGAACAAGATCCTGTCGAAGAAACGCCGCCAGAAGGTGAAGAAGACCTTTGGCAAGCGCTTTGCCCTCAAGAAAATCTCCATGACCGAGTTCCACGATCGTCTGAACAAGAGCTTCGACAGTGCCATGCTGGAGGGCGATGAGGGCGAGCCGCCGGGATCGGGGGAAGCGCACGTCGAGATGCCGAAGACATCCATGACAATGGAGGATATACAGCTGCCGGCGATGAGCGGCCAGCAGCACTTCCTCATGCAACCGGCGGGATTTGAGTAGAGGAGAGACTGAATGACCCACTCACTGCACACCCACATTTATTCATTGCATTACAATTACTAGCTGTTAGTGCCCAAAAACAAATGTACTGATACCAATTATGAAGCTAGGATTTACGTTCGTTTGGTTTACTTCATGCCGTAGCCTTAAGCCTTTCATCAAAGTTATAAGTGTGTGTAAATAGCAATTAGAGAAAAATAAACTAGAGCTATACCTAAAACTAAACTTATCCAGCCATAGAATTCGATTCTGTGCCTAGCCATTAAGCGTATAATAAAGGTTGAAAAATACATATCCATTCACCTGCCGTTAAAGATCTACAAAAGGGGGATGTAATCGTATTTATAAGTTATTTATAAATATTAAAAGCCTATAACATGACATATTTTTAAGCAAAAGGGGTGCTTTTTAAAAGAAAAAAATAGGTATTTTCAAAATGTTCTTACACTTCAATCTCTTTTTTTTCAAACAATAGTTTTGTCATAGTCTATGGTTTATCATTTGTTTTTTGTTATAGTAAAAATGTATACTTTAACACCCGTGTACTTGTAAGATGTATTTATCTTGTATGAAGACAACTTTTAAACTATGATAGCCCAATAATAAGAAATATACTAAACTTCCTTAAAAAATTATTGGTAAAATAAGTTCTATATTTATTTCGGTATATTCTGCGATCTTATTACTAAATTTTAGATCTAAGGGCAACTAATTCTTTAGATTTATCAGTGAGTTGGTTCGAAAGTTTGTTTTCCGATTTGCCAAAGTTTATTTGACACCTTCAGGAAAAGTTTGGTATAATTATTTTGCGTTTAACGAAATCCCAGTTCTTAGCTATTTAAAACCCGATAAGACTACCTTAATGTATAACGTTACGGAAAGCAATTTGGGGGGTGGTAACTTGTGCGCCAACGAGGAACACAAAAATAAGGCAGGCCCAAATAAACCCAATTCGAATGCGAAACGGAAGCGAAACGCACCGAGGTGGCCAAAAGAGCAGACGGATTGTGCGAGCCGGGTGGCGCTCAACTCAAGCCCAATTATTTAACGGCCGCCGCGTGATTAGCAAGTGCAATAAAATGCAGTAACAAAAACGCGCCCATTATTAATGAGTGCAACATGCAACGGGCAGCGATTATGCAGCTTGAATAGATATATATAAATGGATAGATATAGACGCACCACCGCACGATATCGAATAAAAGGGGGGGATTAAGAGAGAGGTGGGTGGTGGTGTCGGTGGTGCGGCGGTGCATTTGCATTTGCATAATCATGTTGTTGTGCCTCGCTGTTGTTGCAGCCTCATTACATTCGGCTTCATTTCAGTTCGATTTGATTCAATTCAATTCAATTCAATTCAACCCATTTCGAACATATCACATCGGCGGGCGCGAGACGAGACTAGACGTTTTGATTTATTTGCTTCGCCGGGCACACAGACCGCAGTAGCAATGGCAGTAGCAGTAATTTCCTAAATCGACAACAATGGCCAGGTAACAGAAATACTTTCAACACCAAATAAAGCTGATTATCTCAGCCAGCGGCAGGCGGTGCACGAATTAATTTAATTAACAACACATACATATTTTATGCTGCACTTCATTTCCTGCTAAGAATTCTGCGCATGCCAGCCATCGCTGCATGCAACCGAATGGCAAGCTGTTAATTTGTTTATGAGCAGGCGGTGCCCATGCCCCCAACCCACCCACAATCTGCCCAGGCAACAACCTTGAGGTCTGGGTCTGCCGGCTAACTAAAGTAGGCGGTTTACTTTGATCGGCAGACGTCATCAAATTCATGCCATCAAGTTGGAAAAGAGCAAACGCACAGTGAAGCTTCATAAGCCCGAACCACCATTGTTACACTGATCAATTGGATTGGATAAGTCATTTGTCTGCAAGAGCTCGACAAAAACAAACACAAACTGAATTAAATATTGAAAAAGCTAAACAATCATGAGTTGTGTAAGTATTTATTAAACCATTAAAAAGCGAGGAGAATATAAAGTCTTTCTTATGTTTAAAGCGATTAGCTTCTTTTTATAAGGCTTATAAAAATATAATAGCAACTTTAAGAGACAAAAGCAAAGCCAACTGGTTTTTCCAAAATTAATAAAACGTTCACCATTTGATCTGTACCTTTCTCGCATTTTAATTTTTGCTGATTTCTCGTAAGACCCTATCTAAAAGAAATTTGTATGATAAACTTAACTTTTGTACATTATCCTGAAGTTTGACTGTAAAGTGATCAAATTATATCCCAACTGAGGGTGAAGATGAAGAAGCGGCGAAATGCAAATATAACTGTATAACTGTAACCACTTTTGTTATTGTTTTACTTACAGCAAACACTTAAGCTTTTTTTTCTCAATGAAAGCCTCTCGCACAGCCACCAAAACAAATGCCGAAACAAAAACAAAAACAAAAACACGCTCGCGAATGCATAATGAAGATGGAGTTAAAGCGAGAAGTGAGAAGTGAGTGAGGAGGAGTGATGTAATAGCGCCAAAGCGGGCAGATAACTAGAGTTACAGCTTCGCCTTCAATTTAAATGGCAAAACCACAAAACACCAACCGCGAGATCCACGACGAAATTGAAATGTAACCTATGCGGCACATATTTCCATTTTTGCGAGTAAAATGCGGACCAGACAATCGCGGCAAAGGGCGAATGCCGACTGAAATGTGACAGTTCCTCAATGAAAAGAAGAGCCATACGTACATACATATATTAGCGATTGGCAGGAGCATTTGAAAAGGCAAATTAAGCCAAATTGATGCAAGCTGCAATTGTGCGCGGCCAACTGAATGCAGCCAAATAGATGAAATAATAAAGGCGGCCAGCAGCAGAAATTGCTGGCGAAAGAGTTTATAAAAATGCTGGCAAGCAGCGCGCCGGCGCAGTGGCTAACGAGACGCGAAGAAGAAAGCAGTACAACACCGGCGACTGGAGGTTACTACGCGAATTGCGATTACAGCCGAAGTTTCAGTTTGAAGTTGTTTAGTGTCCAGTTACCAGCGTAACGGCTTTTCGAAACGGGAAAACAAGTGACCATTGGGTGAACGAGTGACAGGAGGCGAAGCGCGGAAGTGGGTTGAAGGAGGAAGCAGAGGAAGTCCAGTGATCAACAGTTTCCAGGGAAGCAGCTTAAGCCGTCGAGGAAGCAGGACAATAACTGAGGAAGCAGTTTAGAAACTAGAAGGAGCAGAAGACTGTCCAAGGAAGCAGTTTAGTCCTGACCGAAAGCAGTTTTACCCTGGCATAAAGCAGTTAAAGAAGTGAGGATAGCAGTTTTACACAACATCTAGCTCCAGTAAAAAGGGAAAACAATTAAAACAAAGAATTAAGGATCAACATTGAATAACCTGAGAAAGTATTGCATACCCAGAAGAAAGCAGACAAGAATGTAAACAGCTGACATGAAAGACATTTATTTAGGAAGCACGAAGAAGTGAAAGCCGTACGACAACTAAAAGGATACATTAAGCAGTATAGTTCTGGCAGTGAGGAGATATTTTTAACGCAGCTAAGAAAAAACATAAAGAAACTCAAAGCAGAATTAATAATAAAATATTAATAAAATTATTAGATAAAGTAGTTAAGACTTTATTGCTGAAAGCAAATCTATAAACAGGGTAAAAAAGGCTAAGCAATTTATGAAGTCAACAAGCCAACCAGAAAAACAATATCCTCGAAAAAAAATTTAAAAACTGAAAAATTCATAAAAAAAAAGTTTAAGAAAGCAATACCTTATTACACTTTTCTACATTTACATCAAATCAATAACTTAACAAGCAAGTAGATAAGAGGAAGCAGTTTTAGACACCCTAAAGAATTGTACCAAGCAGTTTTACAATTGACAAAAGCAGTTTGGTCCCGGAAGTAAGCGGTTTTAGAATCCACGGAAGCAGCTAAACAGGAAATCATGCAAAGGAAAAACAGTTAGCAGTGAAAGCAGTCAAATCACTATTAGTGCAAAGTGCCAGCAATTGCACTCGCAATTATAAATTAAATGCGTGCGCGTACAAAGCGACGCCAATGTCCAAACAATCTGCAAATGGAGGTGGCCCGCTGCTGCTGCTCACCTGGTCATGGCTGGTCATGATGGACTGCAGCGCGCTGGACTGGCAGCAGGTCAAGCCGATGTACCTGGTGTCCATGTACCCGGGCCCCATGGGTCTGTCCACCTCCTCCTCCTCCACGTCCCCCTTTTCCTCCTCCTCATCCTCCTCCTCCTCTGGTTCCCTGGAACACGATGCTGAAATGAGTGCCAGCAACTTGGACAGCCGCCACATGAAGGGAACGGGATTGGGCATGGATTTGGGAGGGTTCAGCGAGGAGGACCTGGAGGATCGGGAGCCCATAGTTCTCAATCTGGAGACCACGCCGCTGCTGGAGAAGATGCTGCCCGAGGGCGCCATGGCCATGGATCGCATCTTTGGCGGCGATGTGGGCAATCCCCACTGTTTTCCCTACCAGGTGGGAATGCTGCTCCAAAGACCCAAGGGTCTCTACTGGTGTGGCGGTTCACTGATCTCCGAGAAGTACGTCATCACCGCCGCCCACTGCGTTGACATGTACGAACGGTAAACGTCCAGTGGCGAAGCAGTTTCTCATATGTCCATATTTTGCAGGGCCAAAAGGGCCCTCGTTTTCCTGGGCGCTAATGAGATCAAGAACGCCAAGGAGAAGGGTCAGGTGCGACTAATGGTGCCCAGTGAGAACTTCCACATTTATCCCACCTGGAATCCAAAGAGATTGAAGGATGACATTGCCTTGGTCAGGCTGCCTCATGCCGTCAGCTTTAACGGTGAGTTGGGTGGTTTACAAGAGGTGGGTTTTTTGTGGAGAATATCATTTAAGAAAATACAATTTTCTTGAAACGAGTTTAAAAACTGAAAAATCCCTAAAAGAAGTTTTAGAAATGAAGACCCTTTTACACTATTTTTATTTTACTTCAAACTAATAATTACACAAGCAAGTAGACAACTGGAAGCAGTTTTAGACATCCAAAAGAATTATACCAAGCAGTTTTAGACACTCAAAAGCAGTTAAGACCCGGAAGTAAGCAGTTTTGGAATCCACCGAAATACCTAAACAGGATAGCATGTGAAGGAAACACAGTTAACAGTGAAATCAAAAATAGGCATATTTAAAATTAATAGGTTTTAACTACAAATTATTGTTTGTACCCAGCCCTTAAAAAGACCTATTCATCTTGGAATCTATAATTTCAGACCGCATTCATCCAATCCAACTTCCAAAGAGGCATTACGAGTACCGAAGTTTCAAAAACAAACTGGCCATAGCTTCCGGCTGGGGTCGCTATGCGACTGGAGTCCATGCGATCAGCAATGTGCTGCGCTATGTCCAACTGCAGATAATCGATGGTCGCACTTGCAAGTCCAACTTTCCGCTGTCCTATCGAGGTACAAATATATGCACCAGTGGAAGGAACGCCCGATCCACTTGCAACGGAGATTCGGGAGGCCCCTTGGTTCTACAGCGGCGTCACTCGAAGAAGCGAGTCCTGGTGGGGGTGACCTCGTTCGGCAGCATCTATGGCTGCGATCGCGGCTATCCGGCGGCCTTCACCAAGGTGGCCTCGTATTTGGACTGGATCAGCGATGAAACCGGAGTGAGTTCGCACCAGGACACCACGGAGGCGATATTCTTCGACCAGTACGTAAGAGAGTATGGAAAGCCGCGACAAAGTCGCCGCTCGGAGAGGGAGGAGCAGCCAGAGGACGATGTGCCCGATGAACTGGACGTGCACTCCAAGCCCGCCTCCGACGAGGACATCTCCGAGGATGTCAGACCGAGAACCCGCCCGCGCCAGCACTCCGAACACGAGTTCTATTTCTTGTAACCCAAAAATAAACGTTTATTTTAAGTTGGAAGCCAACGCTTAGTTGCCGTAGTTGACCACACCGGTCTTGGCCTCGATCCAGTCCAGGTAGGAGGTGATGCGGGTGAACACGCCCGGCCATCCCCTCTCGCAGCCGAGGGCGATGCCGAAGGAGGTGGCTCCGATCAGGGTGTTGCTGCCGTCGTTCAGGACCAGCGGACCGCCGGAGTCGCCGTTGCAGGTGGAGATGCCGCCGGTGGTCTTTATGCAGATGTTGGTGCCGGCGACCAGGCCGAAGTACCACGGGGAGCAGCCGCTGTTGCTTATGATGGGCACCTCGGCGAACTGCAGAACGTCGGTGGCACCGGTAGCAGCTGTGGGAGTAATAGTAATAGCAATAAGGTTATCAGAAAAAAGCTAAGAAAAATTCCAAGATCTAAGGTCCCTTTTCAAAGTAGTATTTTTAAAACAACATTATTTAAAATATTCGTTAAGAAAATAGTAAAGTCGCAGCTATATAGATTTTATGAACAATAGATTCCACCACGCTTCATTGAAGTTAAGGGTGTTAAAAAAAATATTTAGGGCAATAATAACAAACAAACAAGATTAGATTTCTTAAAAATCTAATTTTTTGATAATAAAGTTGAAGTGTTCTTTCCGAAAAGATTTGTTAGATTAAATATACTTAGCCAAAGGTTAAAACTCATTTCGATTTGGATTTTCCCATTCTTAAGTGAATTGAATTAAAGGCGAAACTAGTACTGAAATGAGGTGATCAAAATATATCAAAAATAAATTCAAACAATTTTTGTTGTACATTTCTTAAATTTATATACGTTTTAAGAAAAATTTGTATTTACTTAGAGACAGCAGAATTTATAGTGGATTCTATCTACAAATTTACTACATAATTTAATTAAATTTAAAGCCAAAAGTAGAAAAACGTATTTATTTTAATAATAATGCAAGGTGTAGGTAAATAGTATATACATATTTTAGTGTTGAAGGGCAAGGCAATAGTACTTAACTTTCTTTTTTATACTCCCAAGACAATTAATTATCTTTCAGTATTATTGCAAAATTATGTACTGTGTGTAAAAAAATTTTTTTTTCTATTTTGGCACAAGCTAAAGTACTGTTTAATGACAAATTAAATTTTATTGCTATACTCTTAAACGCTTTATACTATTGCAAAGTTCTAAACTGTGAATAGGTAACAAGCTAAAAGCAAGCAAAAGTCTTTACTTTCTTTGCTAAACTCTAAAATCACTAAATTTGTGTAAGGTAAAAGGTGAGGGTCACTTACAGTCGCTGATCTTGCCCCATCCGGAGGCGATGGCCGACTCGCCACTGTAGGTTTCATAGCTGCTGGACTTCACGGGCAAGTTGGCGGGTTGGATGTACTCTGTTAAATGGAGAAAATGTGTGAAAATCTATTTTCCATGCAGAAGAGAAGATACCCACTGTTGAACTCAATGGGCACTGGCAGCTTGATGAGCGAAATATCGTTGGTGATGATCTCGGGCATCCAGTTCTCGTGCACGATCACGTTCTTGGTCTCCACGAAGATGATCTGCTGACCCTGCTCCTTGGGGTTGGTGCGATCGTGGGCGCCCAGGTAGACATCCACGCCGGTGGTCAAGCTGTCCGTGCAGTGGGCGGCGGTGATGATCCAGCGGTCGCTGATGATGGTGCCTCCGCACCAGGCGGCTCCTCCGGCAACGTATAGGAGTAGTCCCACCTGGTAGGGGAACTGGTTGGGCTCGGCCAACTCTCCGCCTGTAATCCTTCCGGCGGGCAGCGTCTCGCCGCGAACCTTGGGCATCGGGGTCTCGATGTTCAGGTTCTGGACCGACTGCCAGTCGACAGCCTGGGCCCCAAGGATGGTGGCCAGAAGCAAAACCGTGGCGCAGGTGAATTTCATTTTGATCACTACTAAAGCGGTCGCCAAAAGTGGGGGCCCTTTTATACGGATTTCGATGGACGCGAGGGCATCATAATTCATCGACTATCTATGGCGGATTGCCCAGGCTGGAATAAACCGAGGTGATTTATAATCGTCTATTAACCGCTACCGATTGAGGCGATGCTACCGATATTCTTAGCGATAAGGAGCGCGCGCAGGCGAAAAGTGTGAATCGGATTGGCTCAGTATTGGCAATAAAGCCCAATCATGGTCAGATTAATCAGTTCGTAGTAGGCTTATCTACTGCACTGACTATTACGGCAATTGATTATTATAAGTTGGCGAAAAATAGATTTTCTAGTACTATTCGACATTACGATACACCCTACTATATGACCTTTACCAGTTCATTTGATTATGAAATTCTTAAGAAGGTCATATTGGCGAACAGTTCTTTAGATAATGTATTCGTAAAGCCTGATCTTAAATACTTGTATTTGCGGGGATGGCAAAACCTTAGACATCGATTACCAAAGAGGTTTTGTGATCTAATTGCATAATTTATAGAACCCACAGCCATAATTCTCCCAGTCTAAGCCGCGATGTGCCTATGATATGAGTAATCTGCCTTGCGAACGTGTGAGCTTCCTGCCGACTCATCATGATGTCATAACAGCCGATGCACTTCCCTCAATTCAATTAAAAGGTTCGGTATTTTCAAAACAACTTCCAAACTTAATTAAAGCGCAATACTTATGGAATCAAATGGAAATAAAATAAGTTGAAAATGCTTAAACAAAAGCGGAGAACTAAGCGAAACACGAATAAAAACGGAAATGGATTTAATGCAACAATTTTTGTTTGTTCAATTGAAGGTCGTCTTAGCGTTGAGCCAGCCCAACAAACAAAAGCCGTCACAACAATCCGGTCGAGACGAAGTCTAAGCAGCTACAAGTTCACAAAGAAGAGTCTCAGAGTACCGCATACCGCATACCGCGTACCGCGTATCGCATACCGCTTACCATAGAAGGACAGATTTGCCCAATTAATTAGCACAGCTTTCTAAAAACTTTACAATTTAAATGACACCTGCCAAGCGGTTAGGTAGGCACTCACATAAAACCGAATTACCCATATGACACTATCTCGTTATAAATCTAATCCACAGCCGTTCTATTGGCTCCCCAACAATCGTTGATAGATACATTTAGCAAAGTTGAATTTAAAAATGGCAAAAGTCCTTGAAACAGGCCGAAAGCAGAGCTAATTAAAACATTAAATGCGTAGCAAACTATTAAATTGGAACAAAAAAAACATAGCTAAATGGATTCAAAACAAACAGGGTGTGAAGCCAGTACCGGAGGGTCGAACACCTAAATACACTATTAAAACACTATATTAATTTTCATGGGAATTTTTATGTGTACCATGAAGGTACATACATTTATCTATTTGAACTAACTAACTATCAAAATATCTACCAAAAACTCAATCAACTCATCAACCTTCATTATTGCAAAGGATGTTGATCCAATTTCCACGTATCCACATATGACAAAAATATCTTAATTCAAATGCATGGCAAACTCCTAATCTTATTTATGTTACATACACTTAGCAAGAGTATAATAAAAATTTAATTTATAAAGCAAGATTAAACTGGTTTAAAGCGGCAGCGGTCAAGAGAACAATATTTTTGTGTGCAGTTGTAATGAGAAGCGAAATTATTTGATATGGGTGCGACTTCATAATTAATATAAATGCATACATGCGCCCCCGCCCCCCGGCCCCACACCCTCCATGCAACATGCGTGTATCTTAAATTTAACACACGAACATTTGCAAATAAGATAAACCAAGGCATAAACACATCAAAATATTAATTCAACATTTAAGTCCTGAATGAAATATATGTATTCTTATAATTGCATACACGAGTAAATACAAAGCAACAAGATAATAATATGGAAAAATTAAATTTGAATGAGTTAAAAATTAAGTTTAAGTGTAAATCTTTCAAAAGTGTGTCCCTAAATGGAATTTGATGGTTGCCCCCTTTTGGAATCAGGAAAGCTGAATAAGATGAAGATGCTAATCTGAAAAACATTGCCAGTTATAGATTTATTAAAGTTTTTGAATTTGTGAAGTTCTTATTTATAAATCAATAACTAGCTATTTATTAATAATCTTTAGCTTATAAATTTATATGAATACGTCAGAAAAAGACACAAAAATAAAATGACTGGAAATGTAATTTTCTATTGCTAATTGTTTTTTTTTAACCATTGTGAAATTCAAAATAAGATTTAATATAATGAAGAATGTACTGCGTCTTTATTTTAGTTATAGATGTTAATAAACACAACAACAAAAACACTTGTAGTCAACATAATAATTAATTTAAAAAAATCTAACGGTCTAATATGAATTCGATATGGAAAAGTACTGTCCAAATATTATATCGAAATATTGTGAAATTCGTATTACAAACATGTTAATAGATAAGATAAACTTTAAAATCGGGATAAATGTTACCTAAATTCATTCTGGAAAAGTAAAGACCATATTTAAACTTATCGCAAATTATGAGCTGTCGTAAATATGCTAATAAGTAAGATAAACTAAATATTAACAAGTTCGTCACAATAATAACTGTTTGAGTAAATTCATTGTAATTAAAATAACAAATTTGTTCTGGAAAATGACATCTCAATTGAAAATTGCTTGCGTTTCATTGTAATAAAATGTTATTCGATTTAATTTTTTAATAAAATAATAAATAAACTCGTGATACAACAGCAGTTGAATAAACAAACTGCTGAGCTTAAATAAATAACTGCCATGTCTTTGAAGGCTTAGGCTTCCCCCATCACCCCCATCAATCTGCAAATCACGCAAACTCGTTTTGTTGGATGGCTTGATCCGTTGACGAGTTTAATCCCCTCGCTGCTCAATTTATGAATGGGCCGTGACGTATTTATAAATATAACAAATACATTTAGCTAATTTCCTCAATCTCCCCGAGTGGCTGGGGCATGAATCACGCAATGGGCCTGGGTGGAGGCTATTAATAAAATCGGGACCCAGCTGGGTCCCAAAGATGTGCACCGGCACCTTCCGAACTCCTGGGAGTCATGGATTTGGGCAGGCCTAAAAATAAGCAACCAAGAGCTCTTAACACAAAATGCCGCCATAAGATCAGGAATCCGATTATGATCGTTGTTCGGGGCTCGCCTGTGCCTCTGCCTGTGCGCCAGCCGATTCAGAGACGATTCAGAATACCGATCCGATGCCAACCGGTTTGCCAGCTGTGTGAACCAGGCGGCAAACGAGCGCTCAGCTGCTTAACTTTCGCTGCCGGCGGTTTCTTGTTCTTGGCAGCAGCAGCAGCAGCAGCAGCAGCAGCTAAAAAACCAACAGCGGCAAGTGCAGCGGCTCGCACAGCCGAGCTGAGCTTCTTGGCCGGGCTCATATAAAAACGGCTTTTGGCGCGCGTGCTTAGCCAGTTGAAGTTGCAGATTCGAAACGGAAACGCGCGCGTGCGCCGCCAACGAAATCGATCAAGTATTTGGATTTCGAATTGGATTTTTACGCCGTTTCGGTCATATTCTGAATCACTTGGAGTGACACACATAAGGCAAGGTCGCGGAATAGTACATTACCCAAAGTCAATATGGAAGGCCAGGCCAAGCAAGCGTACTTCGTCAATGAGGCATTTAATCACGAAGAGCCACCGCAGGGTGGAGGTGCAAGTGGAGGTGGAGTTGGAGGTGGAGGAGACAATCTGCATCGCCGGAAAAGCGGTGGCAACAAAGAGCTGCAGCTGGACATGGGTGGCCTCAAGAAGGGCCAGGATGTGGCCGGCAGTGATCCACCCAGCATGGACTTTGACGACATACTCCCCCTGATCGGGGAGTTTGGCCGATATCAGAAGTTGCTCTTCATCTGCATGATCCCCTTCTCGTTCTTCGTGGCCTTTGTGTACTTTTCGCAAATATTTCTCACCTTGGTACCCGAGCAGCATTGGTGTCATGTTCCCGAGTTGGATGGCTTGGATGTGGAGGCCAGGTAAGATCAGTTCGGCTTAAAGAAAACCCCATGGCTGTTCCCCCAAAAGAAACAACGCATTGGTTTTCCCTCGAAAATCTAAGAAGCCAAGGGAAAATACAAGACAAGGCAATTTTGGCACCATGGCTCGGTTATGGCATCCGCGGTTGAGCGCGGCTTGACTCGGTAACTCACGTAATGTGCCATAAATATGCAAATGTGTTGTGTATACTACTATAGTAGTTGATTAGTGGCCACCACACAATGTGTGAAGTGCAGTAGTCGTCGACGTCGCCCTAAGTGCTAAACTTTAATGAAGACTTTGCGGCTATTCAAATGATCATGAGTCTACTAACAGACAACGTGAATCAGAACTTTATGATTGCCTACAGCTGTGGGTGCTAAATAATAATAATGACTACCTTAATGTTAGTTACGGTATGTGGTAACTATCCTATCAGTTCTTTGATATAATGGCTTTAAAATGTCAAGTTTAATATAGTGTAAAAATTAACAAATATGTATTTTGTTAAAAATCCGTTAAGTTGACTAAAAAAGAGACAAGACTTTAAACAAAGACTATGTTTCAAAATTTAAATAAATATCTTCTTATGGTAAAAATATTAATGATATACAAATTAAAATAACCAAAACATTCCTTAAAAAATCAATAAAAGCTTTGTCAAAACAAGACTATTAACTTAACCTTAAATTTTAACCAACAAAAAATTAATTTTTAAATATTTCATATTTAAATTTTCTTTATGTCCCATTTTGAAAAGTACAAATAAGAAATAAACTTACGCAAAATTAATTAATAATTTTCCTTAACAAATGTTTCTAAACAAAAAAAGAAGTATAACCATAATAAGTAATAAATTCCGTTTAAAGATCTAAAATAAACTGAAGTTCAAATATCAACAAGTTCAAGGACACTAAAGAGATCAATTAATTTAAAGAAAAAGGTGAACAATACCAACAATAAACAATAACCAAAGTCAAAAAGTTAAAAAAATAAATGTATTTATCTGCTCAAAACTACTCGACTCACCCCCTTTCGAATAATCTATTCAAACAATCCCCATCCGGAAGTGTTATTATTGTGCGTAAATGGCAATCTGAAATATGCGGTTCCGTTCAAACTTTCACAAAAAAAAGCAATTGATCGATCACTATAACTAACAACCAATAGTACCAATCACCTTGGAATCGAAAGGCTAAGGCTAATACCGGTTAAGCCTGCCATCTTGTGTGTGTTTGTGCTAGCCCAAACTGGATAATATCGTATTAGAAGAACTGGCCATACGAAAAGATTTGGCCCGCTTTAACCCCCATTCCCAAATTCTCGATTCTACTAGTCAAATTATATAAAGTATTTGCAAAGTCTTAAAGCGTGCAGCGTGATTTGAATTGAACACGAAAAACGTAAAAACGAAAAACCAAAACGAATGAAACGTAACGAAAACGAGTGTTCTGACCAAAGTCATTAGAGCCAAGTTGGCATAGAACGGCCAGTCGGGGCGACCTTGGGCCATGATTGGGTTTTCCAGTCAGAGCGGCGGCTTAATAAGGCAAAGAACCTTACTGCGAAAAACGTTCATCTGTATAATTGCCGCCCTGCCCACCGTTGGTCAGTGGCAAGGAGAGCGTTTTCCCCAGCCGCCCAGTGGGTGGTTGGGTGGTGTGGCGATTTGGGGAGGGGGGGAGCAGTTAGATAAGCCAAGTTGGCCGGCCAAATTATTTTAATTAGCAGCAGCACAGCGTGAACGTTGCGACAACGCAGCAGGTAGCAGCAGCAACAAAATACAGGTAGCAACAACCACCATCAACAAGACTAATGTTGTGTGGCGGCGATGATGTGAGACCGCCGACTTTACGACGAGCTATGGCCTAGTAAATCGCATTTTAGAGACTCTTTTCAGTGCTTCAGGACAAGCTGCTCAGAAATACAAATTCCTTTTAGAATTAAAATCAATTATTTTAAAGAATTACAGCAGTAATGCTATTTAACTTATATTTCAATTGAAATACAAGCATCTCCCTTTGTATTATCTAATTAAATGCATAAATAATTATGCAAATAAAATCGATTAGTGTCTAAGTTTGCTCTCGGATTAATTGATAATTGATTTTGTATGAGCGATGCATCTCGATTCTTGATTCTTGAATATATTTATAAACTAGAAGAAACTGATGGCATTATAAAACTAAGATTGGGGCTTAACACATTTTTGCTTATTAGGTTAAAAATGTCATTATTCATTTTAAATATTCATTTTATTTTGTATAATTAGCTAATAACTGCTTATAAGTCATTTTAAAATGGCTTAAAACGTCAGTAAACAAAGTTTAATAAAATAAACTTAGCTATAGATCTTAGTCTCATGCGAAGTCAAGTTAAGTTATTTATTAAAATAACTGCAGGTACATAAATACAGATAAAAAGTGTTGCAAAAACTATGGCATAACATGAATTTATAAATACCACAACGATTATAAACGAAATGCAATCAATCTTTGTTTGTAAGCCAAAGCAAACACTTTAGTCTAACCCAAAATGGAGCAGATATGGACAGTTAAAGTGTATCCGAAAACGTTTAAGACTCCAACCGCTTTTTCGAGTGCCCCTCAAGATCATGATAATTAAGTTGTCTCGCATGTTTATTCATGTAAAGATATACATACATACATATGTTTATACTTCTGTTGGCTGTGCGAGTGCTCGCTGCAGAAGTGTTGGCCATGGCTTAGAGCAGCGTCTGAGAACTGGAGACAATTCCACACGCCTGACCCTGGATAAGTTAATTGCACTGACCGAAAAACAACCGCTTTTTCTCCACCTTTTTCCCAGACTGGCGCTTTCCATACCCATGAGCAACGGCGAGTACAACAATTGTTACATGTACGACGTCAACTACACGGAGCTACTGGCCCAGGGCAAGGTGATGGCCGATCCGAAGTGGCCGCGGGTCAAGTGCCGCCACGGCTGGTCATATAACTTCACGGAGATCCCCTACTCGACGGTGGCCACCGATCAGAACTGGGTGTGTGACGACGCCGCCCTGCCCACCTATGCCCAGTCCATATTCTTCCTGGGCGCCATCGTGGGCGGCCTCCTCTTTGGCTGGGTGGCGGATCGCTTCGGACGCATTCCCGCCCTGATCGGCACCAATATGATGGGACTGCTGGCCGGAGTGGGCACTGCCTTTGTGGGCAACTTCTGGCAGTTCGCCGCCATGCGATTCTTTGTGGGATTCGCCTTCGACAACTGCTTCACCATGATGTATATCTTGGGTGAGTTATAAAGTTAATTATTGTTATTATTATTTTTGAGTGGTTTCAATCCAACTCGCCTAAAGACTTTCTTTTTTTAAAGTAAAATATTCAAACTATTTCTAATATAGAAGGGAAAAAATTAGTTAATTAACAATTATTAATTCTTTTGCCAAGATAAGGTATTAAGTTTAATAGGAAAAATAACAAAAACTAGCTGAACTTAGGTCGAAAACAGTTTGTTGTTAATCCCAATGTGATTAATAGCTGTCGAATTTAATTTAAGATAATTGTCCGTAGTTTAAGCCATAATAAATGTGATAGTTCTAGGCGATTAACTTAAATTGGTTTTTATACCTTTTTTTTCTTCATAGTTCTCGAGTACGTTGGTCCCAAGTACCGCACCTTTGTGGCCAACATGTCTATAGCCATATTTTTCACTGGTGCCGCTTGCCTGCTTCCCTGGATTGCGTACTTTTTGGCAGATTGGAAACTGCTGGCCATTGTGACCTCTGCTCCGCTTCTGCTGGCCATATTCACCCCCTTTGTTGTGCCAGAATCAGCTCGCTGGCTGGTCTCCCAGGGAAAGGTGGACAAGGCCGTCGGAATCCTGAAGAAACTGGAGAAGGGCAATGGTCGCCAGGTGCCCGCTCAAACATATCAGATCTTCGCTGACAGCTGTAAGAGGATGCGGGAACAGGAGGCCCAGAATGGCAACTACTCCGTACTGGATCTGTTCAAGTCACCACGACTGCGACGAACCACTCTGCTGCTCATTGTCATCTGGATGGCCATATCGCTGGTCTTCGATGGACATGTGAGGAACGTGGGCTCCCTGGGACTGGACATCTTCTTCACCTTCACCTTGGCCTGTTTCACGGAACTGCCTGCGGATACACTGCTCACGGTGATCCTAGATCGCTTTGGGCGTCGTTGGCTGGCCTGCAGCTCCATGGTGCTCAGTGGAGTGTTTAGTTTGCTGGCCACTGTGGTGCCCGTCGGCATTTACTCCGCCGCATTGGCCATCATGGGTCGCTTCTTTGTGAACATCAGCTACAACATTGGTCTGCAGTGGGCGGCGGAGGTGCTGCCCACTGTGGTCCGGGCTCAGGCGGTGGCCTTCATCCACATCATGGGCTATGTGGCCAGTATCATTGCTCCGTTTGTGGTCTACCTGGCAAACATCTCGCAAGCTCTGCCATTGATCATACTGGGAATTTTGGGAATCATTGGAGGTTTGTTGTCGTTGCTGCTGCCTGAAACCCTCAACCACGTCCTACCCCAAACCCTAAACGATGGCGAGGAGTTTGGACGCGGTCAGAGCATTTGGGACTTCCCCTGTCTGGCCAAGCAGGTGGACGACGATGAGGAGGAGAAGAAGAGGAACGGCGACGTGGAGGAGGTGCGATCTCAGGCTTTCGTCAGGGGAACCCAGACGGGTGCTTCTCTGAATGCCTCCACGGGTGGAGAACTTAGATCCAGCATTCTGCGCAGATCGATCAAGTCACGCAACTCCACGAAGCTGTAGAGGATCATCTCTATGGCCAAATACTAGGTAGCCTATTGTTATAGCAGCCAATTATCCGTAGCTCTGCCTTGCATTTTTAGCATCAGATATCAGATAGCCTCTAAGTGTCGTTATAGACTTTTGTGATACTAGAAATAAGACATTCTATGCGTCTCTTAAAACGATTAAATAAAGTAAAAAAATTAAACAAAATTAAAATGCAGAAATCAAGCAAATAATTTATAAAAACTTTTACTTATACGGGCAAAATAAACTGAGGTAAAAAAAGGTGAAATGCATGTAGATATCGCTACATTTCTGAGCACTCGGTTCGTATTTAATTTAGATTCGAACCCCGAAAAGGCGTAACGTTATAAACTTTTAGTGGACACAAAGCGAAAATACCCATTAAATAATAAAGCAAAATCATTCAGCCAAATTTGAACACACACCATTAAGTTAGTGGTTGCCTTTAGAAATAGGACTCTCATGTATCTTTGTTAACAACTTATGTACAAGTTGATAGTCATTTTTGTTTTTCTTAATAACCAGATCATGGACAAGTAAAATATGTTTGTCTATTTAATCTTAACTCATAAGCAAATGCTTAACAAGTTTTATACAAAGTATGCCCCACCGTTTATGATCGTTGTGTTTTTCGCATGTGCAAAATGCAATTAAACGTTGTATGCATTTATTGGCACAAGGGTCAACAACCAAATCCGCATGCAAACATCGGATTGAACTACAAAAAACGCCGATTTGCCACTTACCTATAAAAGCAGCGCCCTTTTGAGGGCATCCCACCAGTACGGCCAGAATGGCATCTTCCTTCGCTTGGCTTGCCCTCGTCCTGGGTCTCGGAGTCACTGGCGCCTTGGATTATAATATCCAAGTTAATAGCAGCAAACTTCTGAGGGTTCTCAATGCATCGGCTCCGGTTCAAGAGCTAAAATACCACATCGATGTCTGGCGAAATGAGGAAACTTTAGTTGCCGTAGAAGCCACCCTGGAGTCTGTCATTCGCTCGGAAATCGGAGGAAATTGGGAGCGGGGCTGGCTAGTCCTTCAACTGGCAAATCAAGCCAGAACGCCGGAGCTAAAGGAGGCCATTTACAATGCTCTCTGGAAGGAGCTGCAGCAGACCACGCAGATCTACGATCCAGCCAAGATCCTGGAGTTTCATGAGCAACTATCTCTGCATACGGATGTGCCTCAGGAACTTTTGGAACTGATCTATAGTGCCTTTATCAACCGCAGTGCCCAGTTGTTGGAGGCTCCGTTCCACACACGCAGTCGAGAGGCCACCTTTCCATTGGTAGACTCACTGTTGCATCGCCTAACTTTCAGCACTTTGGATTATCTGAGGGACATCCTGGAAGCTCTCTACGATGCCGTTTTGGCCCTGGAAACGCCATTGAGCGTGGTGGAGCGGCTGGGCAACTTTTCGACCAGTTTGATTCAGTTGGCAGAGGCTAATCTTCAATTACTTGGCAGGGAGGAGCTGAAACGTGGTGATCCGCAGGTGCAGCTAGCCGTGCAGAGCAACCTCAGAAACTTACTGGAACATCCTCATTTCGAGCTGCAAGTGCCGTCCTCTCTTCAATCAGAAATCTACAAACACCTTCCCCGGGACGAGCAAATCATGTACACCGCTCGTAAGGTTTGCATCCGCAATGTGACCGATGCAAATTCGTATATTTACGAATGCCCGCAGACGTATTTGATATGCAGCAATGCAAGAGATCCCAAGAAGGCTGCCTATTTCATTCAACGTGGACACAGCAACGACAGCCGCCCGCAGTTTGCTTTCTTCAGCGCTTTTTGGCGGAATCGCTACATCCTCATGGAACCGTCCACAGCAACTGCGACCAATGCCAGCCACTCCTCCATTACCAAAAACGTGTACAGCCGAACCGAGATAAACTGGTGGCGAGTGGTGTACGGAAACGGCGGAATTTCCTTCTACGATGCGGCCACTGAGAAATCCGTTCTGTGCGGCGGAGATCCCTCGCACTGGGATAGCGGGGAACACCATGTTTATACCCGCCACGCATCCGAGTTTTCTGCTCATCAGTCGGAGTGCACCTGGAGCCTGGAAGACTGCAGCGATGCCGCCTAGCTAAAAGAGGAAGGGAAAGCGAGTGCAGCCTTTATAACATCCATAAATATTAGCTATGTTTATTTTGACTAATAAGGCACATGAGAAAATCATCCAACTACCTCTGCTTAAAATCCCAGGGTATGCACACCACGCCATCGGTCAGTACCGAATAGTAGTGGGTTATGTGGAGTTTGCATTCCTGCAGCTGCTGCACTTGCAACTGAGATAGATCTCTAAGGGCTGCTATCATCTTGTCAGGGGTGATGGCGTCGTCTTTGGTTAGGGAGTGCAGCTGCAGCTGCTCCACACACAAGTCCATTAGCTCCTGTTCGACGTGCTTGTCCTGGGCGTACTTCTTCATGCGTTCCCTGGCCAGTTCCATGTTAACGCTGATGAAGTCGACGAGTATGGAACCCGGACAGGTGGCTGGTGTGATGAACTGACCCGTGGGGCTGACCATAAGTGGCCCCGCCTCCGATTCCACCACGATGGTGAACTCCTTGAGCGTTTTCGGCCACTCCGCCGGGTATTTTTGTTTGCCTATGTAGTCGTTGAGCGAAGTGGTCACCTTCATGAGGTAGCTTGCATAGCCTCTGGCCTGCTGCTTGGGCATAAACTTCCGCCGCCCAATCTGAATGTCAAGTAGAACCTGAGCAAGTGTCCGCTCATAAACGGGCACCACCTTTAAGTAAGCATCATGGTGCGGAATGTTCTTGATGAAGTCAATCCAGGTGTTGAGCACATCGCCGGTGAAGAGCATCACATGACCCTCCAAACTAATGCCCGTAAAGGGAGCAAAGACCACAATGCGTCCTTTTAGAGGCGACATTTCCTTTAAGTGGGTGTTGGCCAAACGCTCGAGGGTCTTTAAACAGCCACGATAGTGTTCGATGTTCCAGCCGCACTCGTAGCGCGCGTCCCGCAGTTCCAGCTTCTGCACCAGCACTTTTTGCAGCTTGTTGATCTCGGCCTGCAGATCCGCGGTTTCCTTGGCGCGCTGTCTAGCCTTGTCGGCGTTCTCCTTCAACCAGGTGGTCAGTACTGGTCGCATGCTGGCCCGCTCCTGGTTGAACAAAGTGGATATTAACTTGGTTTATAAAGGATAACACTGGATCTACAAACATTCTTCAGCTGAGATTCAAAGTCGGCAAACTCCGTGTCGTAGTGGTAGTCCTGGCTGGGCTTGAAATCCAAGCTGGAGGTTTTTTGCGGCTCCGGCTGAGCCTTGATGTTCTTCACATACTCCGTGGAAAGATTGCAGGACTCCAGAAGACCCTGAATAAAGGTCTTGGGATCCCGGGTGCTCTGCCAGTCCGTGCGAATCTGGATGAGCTTGAAGGAGTCCCGCTTGTCGGCATCTGAACTGGTGCGCACATAGAACTTTAGCACCTGGTTGTCCCCACTGCGCTGCCTGCGTTCATACAAGGCCTCCAGGTGCTCGCTCAGCAATTTCAGGGAGTTCTCGTTGGTGTTCCGCTGCTCAGGATGCTGGGCAAAGAAGTCCGGATGCACAGCGAAGTAGAAGGGCCTCAAGGCGGTAGTGAGGTCTGCAAGAGATTGGGATCACATGATATTTATCTGCTTGTTTTGGCATGCAAACCCACTGACCTTGGTTCAGCGATCGACGCAGACACAGGAAGTGCCGCCTGCTGGTGACCAATTTCCGGATCTTGGAGCCCAGCAACACAGACATTATGTAAGCGGCGAGCAGAGGCACAACCCTGCCCCTCGTCCAAATTGTCCAGCATACGGCGGCAACTGCTGTGGACTCAAACTTTGAGATATATTAACTCCTGATCTTGAAATTATGAAATACGGTGAGACCGTTGTGCGATACGATTAAAATTCTTTGCTGTTACGGTATGGGTTGTGGCATCTTAGCTGTTTTTCGGCCAAATTTGGCTAGTTTTTACCAACATTAATTGCAAATAATAACTTAACTTTACTTTATGAAATGTTGAATTAACTTTGCAGTCATGATCACTATGATGTTGGTTTTGAAATATCATCGTAATGGATAAGCGTAATTTAAGATCAAATACCAGTTAACATATTAAATTAGAAATAACACCCACCTTTAATTTTATATTGGACACATTTGTTGGAAAACATTTTTGTAACATCAAAGTTTTCTAAAAAGTTTATTGTAAAATACCATTACCACAAACATTAACAATTTTTAAGCTTTTTTAAAGCTAAAGTTATGCTTTAGGTTTGGCAGCACTATGTAGTGTAAGACCGCCGATAGTTTTCGGTGTGACCAGCTTAACGACAGAGTTCCGCATTGTTTACCTCGCTGGCTATAACACCTTAGCTAAACTCCAATTATTGTAATAAAAATAGTAAACAAATCTATTTGAAACATGACTGCTGTACCGCCCCCTTCTAACATCTCCACACTGATGCCCCTGGGTAAGAAAACCAAATGAAAATCCGGAAATCCACAGCTGCTAACTTTTGCCGGTTTGCCTGGGGTTTCTTGCAGAATTGGTGGACAAATGCATTGGCTCCCGCATCCACATAATCATGAAGAACGACAAGGAGATGGTGGGCACCCTCCTGGGATTCGATGACTTCGTGAACATGCTCCTGGACGATGTTACGGAATACGAGAATACGCCCGATGGCCGCCGCATCACCAAACTGGATCAGATTCTGCTCAATGGCAACAACATTACAATGGTGGGTTACTATTTTAGTTTAAAAAGTTTATTTATAATATCTAACTGATTCATTGCAGCTGGTGCCTGGTGGCGAATTGGCGGAGTAGCAAGGTTCCATTTGTAAACATAAATACAATTGTAAAATATCAAAACAAGAGTTTTAATGTGGAATTATGCATATGTAAATGTACAGAGGTATGTTACGAGCTAACAGTGGTGAAACGGTTAACAGAAAGATTTTAAAAAGCGGCTTAAAAGAAACTAGAATATTTAATAAATTTTGAAATTTTTAAATTGTTAATAGAAAATGTCGTGCAGTTAAGTGATTTAGACGTTGGGTAACATTAAATTTGAGTTTGAAAGAAGCTTTAAAATTAAGAAAAGCTGTCCATTATTAATTAGTTAGAACAGATAAATTATTAAGTTATGATAGCTAATTATGAGACTTAACAGATACTAAGTGGTTCTGTAATGACTAAGTAAATGGAAAGTTTAACTTGGTTATCAAAAGTACCGGTTCAGTTTAGAATTGTAGACCAAGCAACCCCAATTAACTTATAAAACTTAAAATATCACTTCCTCGTCAAAAGGTAAAATTGAAATTGATTTAAATTTAATATTTAGGCCCTTTCCGTAAACATTTAACAGCGATTTATTCTCTGGCGGGTATGCAAAGTAGGCGCATGCGCCTAACCCCCAAAAACACAGGTCTCAGCGATACAGCAGTCAACATGTGCCATAAATATCAACCGCTTTTCCCTGCTGGCCGTGCGTGTGGGTGCAGTGTGCTCTCCGCAGCACCGTTTTGGGTTCTCCCGCTTCCGTTCGGCACCTCCAACGCTCAGTACGGCACCAGACTTGGACGGAAGTGGAACAAACGAAGCGGAAACAGAGTCACGCGACAACAAAACCGAACTCGAATATGGAAAAGTTTTCCCTTAACAAATGTAGCACTGATAAACGCAGTTCGGAGTGAACTTCATGAATGGCCATGACTAATTGCAGCCATCCAACAGCACCAGCAGCATTCGTTGTGTGAACTCCAATGGTGGAGGAGGTTACCTCTTTTTTTTCAAACGAAAGATTTCACTACTTCGGTATCTCTGTATCTGTCGGTGTCTCATTTGAGCGGCTCGAATGATCCGCCTGTAATTATGATTGCGTGAAGAAATCAATACGAGGAGGATGGCCAGCAAGCCCATGAGCACCAGCTGCCAGAGCATTGCGACGGCGGCCAGCAGTGCGGCCACCACGGCGGCGGCGGTGTCCATCTCGGCCTCCAATGCCACCTCCGTGGGCTCCCTCATCGCCGCCGCCTGCCTCCAGCAGCAGCAGCAACATCCCCACCAGGACCAGCAGCAACAATATCCCCAGTCCCAGCAGCAACACCTCTATCAGACCCATCAGCAATCATCGCACTATGTCAACGGCACCGGCAGTCTGGGCAGGCTCAAGTTCCACAAGAGTCTCGATGCCAGCGACGAGGAAATCGAGTATGCGCAGGTATGTCCAAGTGGCCAAGTATCCAACTGCTGGGCGGAATCGTCTCAAAGTGAATCCAATTGTGCCCCACACTGAGTCATAATAATGCGACAAGGTCCTGCAGTGCTGGCTCAATTGAATTTGCCTTGTGGGTGGTGGTGGGTGGTCGGTGGTGGTTGCTGGCGTTTGCTGGCCTGCTTGTTGAGTGGGTGTTTTGGGGGTGGTTTATGCCACTCGGCTCCCATCTCGCTGCATTTGATGCCCCCTCAGCTGTTTAACCTCCCGGCCGGGTCGTTATGCATAGTTTACGCTTCGCCAGGCAGCCTCAACAGCCGCCAACAACCGCCGTCGTCGATCAAGTGTTAATAATTCAATGCCCCGGAAATATTGAATGTATCATACACCCAGGGATTAGATGAGGCCCACAAAGGGCCGTGACTTTGGCCCAGGCAATTAGATAAATTAACCAGTTGGATTAATTTATGGATAGCTGAAAGTTTGGGGGGCTGTAAATACGCATGCCATACTTTTCATAGCTAAATAGTAAAAATGCAAAGTTCATGCTAAAAAAGACACGAAAGCCACTTTATTACAAATAAAGAGGGTTTCAGTTTCTTTTACTAAAATACCAAAAAATAGGAAAAGAAATTTTAAATTAAAAGGGTGTTTAGTGGTATTCGTTTTTCTTTATAACTCATTTCGACGGTTTTAAATTATATTATCTATTCATGATGAATGAAAGCCTTAACAATTTCATTTTAAATAAGCACTGTATTTTTATATATAATGCCATACAATTTGCTCTTTCTTGCCCATGGCATTATGGCCGGCGGGAGGTCTATTGCAAAGCCTTTCAAGCCAGTTATTACGGCCCGGACAATAAAGGTTTAATGAAAGAGCAGTGCGGATTATCTCTGTAGATTGCATGTTGTTTCAGAATTTCTTCTGGGTTTTCTATTTTTAAAAAATAAAACGATAAATTAAGTTTTTAGTAACAGAAATTTGTATTTCAAATTTAAAACTTTTTTTTTATTTGTCATGTATTTCACTGACCCTTATAAAATTAAAAAAAATAAAACTAATCCTCCCCTTCATTGTTTTTTTTATTTTCTTTATGGGTCATAGCAAAATGTTTATTTATTTAACTCTATTACTAGCGTGCTAATTTATGGGAAGGGTCCATGCGATGTTATTTTGTCCGCACCTGTATTTGTGGTTGGTTTGCTTTTCCCTTTCCCCGTCCGCTTTCTTTTCGGGGGGCAGTGAAAGTGTTGCCTGCTGGGGGCTTCATCCTGTATTCATAGAAATGCTTTCAATAAAACCAGGAAAAACAGTAGGGGCGAAGGAATGGGCTTGGCAAACATCATTTTGATGGTTTGGCTTGCACCACCACCACACCTGGCGGCTATTTGGTGTGCCACATTGCTCAGACTAGCAAATACCCGGAAGTGCTAACGATAGTTTAGCATACAAGCTTTTCACTTTCACCGCAAATCAACACATTCCTTTCACAGAAAAAGGGTATTGCGAGATAATAGTCAGTATGCCCTGGATTCTCAAAAATATTCACTAAAAGAAATACAAGATTATATTTAAATTTTCACTTAAAATAAGTATATATGTATATAAAATGACTATCAAAGAGGAACAAAGTCACTTCAATTAAAAATGGATTAAAAATGGATAATATTATGTTGTATTTCAGCTATCTCGTTCCACACATATCCTGGGACGCCATAAATCGGAGCGTTTTCTGGCTTCCAATCCCGACGAGGATCGACGACGCCGCACCATAATTGTGGAGAAGAAGAACAACTCATATGGATTTACGCTGCAGAGCTATGGGATCCACTACAAACGCGATGAGGAGCTGGAGATGATTACTTATGTGGACTACGTGGAGTACGGTGGTCCGGCCTATCGTGCTGGAATGCGTGAGGGCGACGTAATCCTATCCATCAACGGCAAGGATATGGAGAAGGCGGACCACAAGACCATCGTCGAGTTCATCAAGCAGTGTGACACCAGGATGCGGATGGTCGTTCTCTTCGAGGATTGTGTGAGGAAGGTAGAGTATCGTTTTAGAAAATATAGCTGAAGCTATACTTTCCCGAAGTATTTCCCCCATCGTGTACATTTTTGAAAAACATATTTTCCCCCAGGTCGATCTTCACATGCGCTATATCCAACTGCAGAGCCTGTTGCAGCAAAAGATGAACGAGCTGGAGAGGGTTCATCTGAGGGAGCGGGAGCTGCTGGAGGGCAAATGGAAGACGCACAGCTTGCCAGCCCGGAAGAAGGCTAATGCGAACACTTCACCCAGCGACGGGGAGGGTGTCTCACCCACTGAAGTGGGTGGTGAAACGGGCTTCTATCGACCCGCCCTCTCCACCGAGGATGTGCCAAACATGGCGGCCCGCCAGCAGGCTGTGGGTGGACCAGGAATCATACCACCTCCCGCTCAATTTATGCTCACCTACCACTACCTGGATCCCACTTATCGGTACGTGCTGCGACCCACCCACGGCAGCTCAGAGGACTACATAGATGGCCTGGGTCTCCAGAGGAGCAGTAGTGATCACCAGCAAACCGCACAGCGTTATATCCTACAGCGAACCGAGTCCGTGGATGCGAATTCGATGACTCAACCCACAACCACGCCGCCTACTCAATATCACAGCACCACTGGCGGATCGGTAAAGCCACCGGCACCACCTCCTCGCACTTGTGAGAAGCACAAGCCACCAGCAAAGCCCCCAAAAACGGAGAAGGAGAAGACCTCCGGGAAGCATATTCATGTGGGCCATTCGTGCAATCCCTGCTTGGGTCACTTCCGATGGAAGTCGGCCGAGAAGTCGGCGGTTCCAGCGCCAGATAATGTTAGCCTGGATGCCTATGATCTGGCCAGTCCCTGCTGCGATACGCATTGTGTGCCATCAAGGAGACGCCATCGCCAGCACAAGGAGCACACGCATAAGCACAAACATCGGGAGAGGGAACGGGTGGAGGGCAAGGAGCAGAGGGTCCGACCCAAGTCCACATCCCACGCCTCACCCAACGCCAATGGAGGAGGAGGAGGAAATGCAGGATCTGGCCATCATCACCACCATCATCATCACCACCACAGCCACGAGCAGCAGCAACAACAACAACAGCAACAGCAGCAACAACAACAGCAATTGCAGACAGTTCCCCACCATCATCACTATCCCCACCAGGTGCAGAATCCCTGTCAGGTGCAATCCCAATCTGGTAGCACCCGATCACGCTACTTCGACTTGGCCTCCGGATTGGCCAGCCATTGCAGCTTGCATTCCTGCACCTCAAGTGAGTTTGCCCCAGGGGACACCGCTTCGTATACCACTTCCATCAGTACGGATACATTGTTCTGGGATCCCAAAAGCGAGACGGGTCAATCCCGACAACACTCCACAAAATCCAGGCAGTCCTACGAACAGCAACCACAACAGCAGCAGCAGCAGCAACAACAACCACACCATCAACAACCGCACCACCATCATCATCATCACCAGGGGGAGTACCACCAACGCTATCATGTGACCGCCAATCAAATGCAGCCCCCGCAGATCTATCCCAATGCCATAGCTTATGTTCAGAAACCCAAATCCTGGGACAATCTCGCCAACAAGGCGGGCTATAATGTCGGTTACGGCTACCTTGACACGGTGGCCGTGAGGCCAGCCATTAAAATGCAAATTGCCCAGCAGCGCCACTCGATGCCGCGAAGGAATCCGTACGGCAGATACTCCACCTACGGAGATGTGGAGAACTATGCCCCACCGCCCACCGAGTTTGTGGGCGAGCTGACCACCACCACAACCACCACGATTACGGCCAAGTCCACGGAGGAGCTGCTGGCCGCCTGCGATTGCTTGAGCCCCCAGCAGCAGGCTGCTATCAAGGCTGCCCAGTACCAGCTCAGCCAAAACCAGAAGCTGACCCACCAGAACTCCTGCCAGATGGGTTACTACTCGCATCTGCCGCGGCCCACCACAGATGTGGGCACCTCCACCACCAGTCAGCAGGTGCACGGGGCAGGAGATGTCCAAACCACGTCGGAGGCCACCAGGTTGTAAAGTGGCAGTAAAAAGATACAACTAGGAACCGTCTCAAGAAGAATAAGAGTGCACTAAGAGTTGTAGTTTAATCGAATAGCCCTCGGCTTTAACAAGTATTCATTATATGAGTTAAAAATTCAAGCAAGGTTTTTAATAAGTACTGAATTAAATGAGTATGGATGAGATAAAGAATAGGGGAATTGTTGATATAAGAATTGGGTTGGAAAATTTAAAATTCACGGAAAGAATATAAAAATTCGAACACAACTAAATATTTTATCTATTTCATTGAACAGACTATCAAATTATACTTAAAATTTTATAAATTATTTTCACATAAAACCTTAAATGATAAATTGTAGCAACTATTAAGCCAAAGAGTGAAATATTTCTTAATTAATTAGTTTAGATTTTGGCTCTGGGAGTAATAAAATATTTAGGTAATCCATATTTAGTCAATGGAACAGATACAACTTATGTCTTTAACTCGAATTTAAATCTGTACTCATTTAATTCAATGTTAAGTCAAACGCTATCCCAATGACTAACTTATCCACTCATGAGTGCACTCACATTCAGCTCCATTCGCGTCTTAATAACCGAACATCGAAATCATTTGAAATGGTAACTAAAGCCAAATTTTAAACATATAACTCAAACAGACAAAAATCAGCAAATAGCTTAACTACTCACATATATATATTGTGAGTTTCATAGACGTAAGAAAAAAATGTAGCATCCAAAAATCACAAGACAATACACAGAGATAAGCCCAAAAGAAGATACTTCTAAGAGTAGATGATTCAAAATTATTAAACCTTAAGATCCATACAAATTAAACTTGTAGCCATCTTATGTGTATGAAACTCACTTTATATATACGCGATATAACTAGGACGCATTGACGTTTAGATTTTTGGATTTATTGAAAGACTGAAAAGCCATGCGCATATTCCAAATGAGAGAAAAATCTGGCGTCTTGTAATGATAGTTAGAGGATTATAAATATCTGTATAAGCCGCATAATAATATGGTTACCTATCATGCAACTAGATACTGTTTTACATGTAGCATATACACACACTTAAGCATATATATTTAATGTATACTGTATCCGAACAATGTAATTTATTTCATTGTGATAGTGAAAGAGCAGGCACTAAAAACCGCAACAATTTTAGTCGCATTTTTATCAAGCAACCAACCAAATATGATTTAAAACGCTTTTATGTAATGCGAAATGTAAATGTTATTGTACTTCATGTAATGCAATAAAACTCAAGAAATGTGTTCATGTAGTGTGACCCTTAGAAAAATTAGAAACCAAAACATGAGTTTTCAAAAGTTTAGAAATTGTTTTTTTAGAGTGAAGTGACTAAGGCTTTAAGTGAATATGGGGGAACAGGGGTCCCTTGGTGAGGATCTTGAAGCTAACAAATATTATAATTTTACTTGTGTTAAATATTTAAAATTATTAGTTTATCTTAGCTTTACATAATTGGCTTTAGGAATTTATAAAGACTTCTGGAACACCCCAAAACAAACCAAATCAGCTGTTTAAGCCTAGAGTGTCGCCGCCTATCGTTTGTATTGTGAATTTTTCAACCCTTGGAGAGTTCTTACCCTGGAATTCTCCAGTTGTAAATGCTATTCGCCGGTCAGCTGTTCAACCCCCGCAAATTTGGCAACTGTCAGCGGCGCCCTCTGTCGGCCATCGTCGGGACCAGGCAGCTGTCAAAGTGGCAAAAAAATCAATACCAACCCCCAACCCTCCTCGTTAAAAATGTAAATGCGAAAAAATTCAATACTGTGCAGCCAAACGCGACGGTCGCAGAGTTCTCCACTCACAATCGCTCTCCCCGCTTTATCCCCCCAGTACGTTATGCTCCGGATCCGGGAATATAGCCCAAAAATCGGTTAAAGATTGAGAACGGTTTTCGAATCGCCCCGACATCCCCAGTGAAATCCCCAGTGAGGGCAACTTGCGAACCGGCAAAAAAAAATAGTGCACAAGCCTTTCCAGTGAGTGAAAAGTGTCCAAGTGCTTGAGCATTGAGATATAGCAGTCGATCTTGGCCAGATCCGGCAAACATATGTCAAGAGCAGGGCGCCAGCAACAAAGCTAAGACGGCGGCGTCAGCGTCGGCAGAGCCAACAATTTGAATGTCCTGTCCGTGGAGTTCAAGATTGCGGTGACCGCTCCTGTTTTTGTTGTTGTTGGTGGCAGCAGCAGATACAACAATGAAAAGGTGAGATTTATTTAGCAACGTACACACTTTAACTAAAATAAACGATTTTCGATGGCTTCTGGAGGCTTAAAAGTTTCTGGGGTGTTGGCAAGACAAAGCAACTTTTACTTCATAAATATAATAGGGGGATGGGAGAATCCTATCAAGTGTTTTCTATAGTTTTAGTAATTTTAATTTTTCAGAAATAAATGAATTGGCTTTGACAAGCAAATTCTTGTATTACTATGTTAGGCCGTTGCAAAATTTCAATACTGTCTCCTTCGACACTTAATATAAAATATTACAGTCTTACTAATTAAAACCTTTGCCAAGAATGGAATTAAGAAATAAAAATATGTTTTAATAATAAAATAAATAATATAATTCATAAATAGTTGGTTAAATATGTCTTAAATTGAAAGCAAAAATATATATAAATATATTTACAACAAATATTTTTCTTTAGTTTTTCTAATTTTTTAAGTTTTTTTTTTTAAGTTTAATGTTTCTTAGAAAAATTTTCAAAAAAAGTTTTCGCGTTATATTTAATCCGTAAATTCTTTAATAATTTTATTTAATGTTAAAAAGTTATATTTAAAATTTATAATAATGTAAAATGAAATTTTGCTTTTAAAATTTGAGGTTCATTTGATTTCTTTTGACGCTATCAGTAAACAAGAATAAAATATGCACCTGTAAAATTTACAATCAAAAGTGTTCTATGCTAAGCCTTAGTCAAATTTAATTTTTCTACTCCAATATGATATATACACGGTTTCAATTTGTAGCCGGTTGGCAGCTAAAATACAAACATCCCTTGCCCACTTCGGGGCGAGATCAATTTCGATAAATAGAAATTGCCAATTAAATGTGAAATGTAAATTGCCCCCGAGCGACAGTCGAACAGTTCACAAAAAGTGTCCCGGGGCCAAGGGAAAAGTTCTCCGCTGGTCACTCGCATCCGGTTTTTGGTCCTGGCAAAGTTTTTGTGCAGCTTGTGATGTCTGCCGCGCGATATGAGAATTGTAACTTTCGGACCGTTGGACCGTCTGACTGTCTGTCGGTGCGTCCGTATCATTAGGGCAAAGTTGGCCTGGCCCACTCAAGTAGTTGGTTTTTATATGTACGAGATTTCTGGATTTTTTTTTCAGCTGCTCTGCCATTAATTATGAATGCTGAACTATGCCAAAGTTTTGCAGACACCCCCCGTCGCACTTTGAGCTGCTCAATTGTTAAACCGAAATTCATAAGTCGTAATGACTGGCTGGAGGAGCAGGAGGAGGGACGGGGATGATGTGCCTTTTGGTGGGACAGACAACTTGAAGTTTGCTGCGGATGCGGACGTTGCAACATATTTACAACATCATTATCAGCGTCGGCAGCGTCAAAATGCCATTAAATGTGTAGCCTAGCCTACAATGCCTTTGAAGGATTACACACCCGCCCAGGAGCGCCTCCTTGTTTACTCACACACTCCCACTTGCAGAAAGAAAAGGAACGAAACGGAAAAAAATGTGCAGCTTTGTCAAATAGCAAAGAGCGCGGAGCAGCAGTGAATAGTTGCTGCACAGGGAACAAACTTTGAGCATTTTACAAATAATAATCACATTAAAAAGTGTGAATAGTTGATATGATTATAAAAGGATCGGACAACAAGCTGAGCTTCTAGGATAAACACACTAAAAAAGCTTGAGAAATTACAAATTAATTATCAGATTTTCCTTTCGAACAGTGTAAAAAAAGAGAAATTCCCAAATGACACAATTATTATTATAATATTTCATCAAAAAACTTTTTCTATTTTAATATTTATCAATCTGAAAAATACTTTATAATTCTCTTCTTATAAATTTTATTTAACTAGGTTGAAAATATATAAAAAATACGTTAAAAATATTATTTTGGCTTTGGCAAAATAAGATATTTTTTCAAAACCAACTAGATGAATTTGATATATTTATAATTGATAAATCTGTTTTTATTAGCCTGGTGTTATAATGTTTTTAAGAAATTTAATTTAATTTAGTCAGTCTCTAAGAATTTTGGTACTTTTTTTGTGTGCAGTGTTGCTGCTGTTGGTGTTGGTGTTGCATTTGGTGTTGTTGCTGTTGCAGGAGTGCTGGCGGGCATTGAAAAGCACGCTCACCCACACATGCACGCACTGGCAGTCAGTCAACAGCGCGCTGCCCGCTCCCTGCCCCTCCCACTCAGCCCACTCCGCCCATTTCTCCCCTTTTACCACCCAAAAAACCGCCCCCTGACGATGGGCGCCAAAGTGCGTTGCATACTTCGCTTCTGCTTCTTTTTTTGCACGCTTTGTTTGACTGGGATTGGGATTTTCCCCAACAGTTGTACTCACTCTGGTAGTTGTTGTTGTTGTTGCTGCTGTTGTACACATTGTCACACAGGCAACAACGCACACGCAACAACAAGTACGACAACTACAAAAACACAAGCAACAGCTCAAAAAAAGAAAAAAAACTTTGCCACGTTAACTACTGACTGGCTCCGGCAAGGCGACAAAAATGTTATTTTTCTTTTAATTTATAAGTTTTTTTAAATTGTCTTATAGTTTTTTAAATTATTTTAGATAAAAGTATTTTCTTCTTTACAAATACCTTGAATAAACCTCTATTAAATTAAAATATTACAATACTATATCACTGCCAGGACTTTAAAAACCTTTCAGAAAAATAGAAATAGTCCTTAATAATTATATTACTTATTCAACTTAAATGTTAATAATTGAACTTGACTGCAAACACAAACGTTAAACTACGGAAATACCATAAAAACAAATACCTTTCATGTATTAGAACCACACTAGTTCAATTGTAAGTTTTTAGATACTTGCAAATTATTTAGAAACAATTTGGGTAATTATATTTTTGTTTGTTGGTTAGCTGTGAAAATAAAGTGACTTACAATAATTATGTATTTTACTCAGTTTTTTTTTTGACGCATTTGCTGGTGCCACGACGACATTCTGACGTAGCCCTGCACCAATTGCGAGTGTGCGCCTAAGTTGGGGCGGGGAAAATGGTGAAAATGAGGATGAGGGGGCGGGGCAGGACAGGCAGGAGTTCTCTGGCGGCGGGAAGGGTGTTAATGAGCAACATCGCAGTGGCAACGACTCTGCTTAGTATTTGTGTTTCTTCATTTCCGGATTCCACATGTTGACATGCTGATGATGTTGGTTAACTTCTGCCCAGGATGATGGCGATGATGAAGTCACCAGCAGAAGAAGGAGCAGGAGCAGAAGCAGCAGCCAGTCTGTCATTCAGTGAGTGAGTGGGTGGGCGGGCTGGTTAGTCAGCTTTGTTTTGCTACTCCACTCGCTGCTTGTTTGTTAACGCTGCGTATGCGTAATTTTCATATTATGTAATTTTAACGCGCTAAATGGAAGCTTAATTTGATTAGGGCGCCATAAATGTGTCCTGTTCGCAGAGTGTGCCCTATATTGACTTGTTGGTTGGACTCTCGTCGAGGTGACGCATATTTGACGCAGTTTCCCAGTTGTCCCCCCAAAAAAAAAGAGGAGACTATATTTACACCATCTCCAAGCCACCGGCTTACATCTCCAGTTTCCCATTCTAGCTGCACAGAAAGAAAATAATGATGATATGGTTAAAAATTGTATTTATTTTCCATTATCGTTAAACTTTAAGGTGATAAGCACGGCCATTATATACAATGTATAAATTAAGTTTAAAGTGTGGTTTTTCAGTTTTTTAATTCTAAATTAAAGATGCGGACATTCATCCACGAAAATTTCTCTCTGTGTATTGGGATGCTGTCTGATGAGCTCATATTGAAAGTTTTTGTGCTCTGTAGGGCGACCTAGTTTATCCAAAGCCAAATCAATGTGGTGGCCGCTGCGGCGCCATTTGCACTGCCGACCCTTTTGTGCATTTACTCTGTTTTCCGCTCTGCCCTGCTCGACATTTTCCGGGTTTTTCCTCCGCTTGTCTGTGCTCTTTTTTTTCCTGTGCAAACAATTTCGCCCGGTCGCCTGGTCGGGCGTTATTAATTGAGCTTTTGATGCATAGCCAGTATAACGATTGTCCCATCCCAATTCATCTGCGATCCGGGCCA